CCTTGTTTTGTTTGTTTGGTGCAGCTTGTTTTCAACCTCGTTTTGTTTGTTTGGTGCAGCTTGTTTATTTCTCAAGGATTGTTAACGTGTGTTTTGTTGACACCAGCAAATTCTGCACACGTGTTGGTGGTTAGGCACACGAATTTGTGGTCACATGACACGAAACACGTGCAGGGTCGCGCTTTCACAAAAGAGCGTGCTGCATGCAGTCTAGACTAATGCTTAGGGCCTATTCGATTATGCTAAACCGGTTTTGGTTTCTGGAAAACCATGCACTCGTTTATGTCGAAACCTAAAACTGGGTTCTGAAACTTCGAAACCATCTCCGAGGCAGGTTTCGCGGTTTCGGTTTCGCGTTCTCTCACAATAAACATGGCGGAAAAGATCTTGGTGGCAAAATAGAGCAGCAGTTTCTGTAACCAAAATAATGATAAAATCAACTGAGAACTAGGAAAATATTATTTAAAACCCCAGTCTATTGAACATGACTATTTTATTTAACTTGTATACATATAATTACTTGTAACAGTATAATTACATATACGCAAATATTTACTTCCAAAAGCATCTCATCTCTTTATTATTTGTTAATTCCCTTATAAAATGACCAAAAAATATTACCTTTGGCAATGCTGTCATTCAATTCGTTCCTCATATATACTCAGCAGCAAAATAAAACTTCAGTACGAATTCAAAATTAGAGAGGCACTGTAATCAAATCAGTACAGAAATGGACATAATAAGCGGATCAAAAACATTGTGTACAATATCTTGACACATCAATGAATAACTCAGCACAATTTCAAGACATTACGTGAACGTTTGCAGTTCATTCAGACTATTGACTTCAGTATCTAGTGTGACCACCACGAGCGGCAATAACTGCAGCACAGCGTCTATGCATGGAGTGCACCAATCGATTGATGAAGGCCACTGGCACCTTGAACCACACTCTGCGACAGGCCTGGCGCAAGAAATCGGCTGTGTTCGGCCTTGGTATGACATGATTCAGTCTCCTCTGAATTTCATCCCAAAGATGTTCAACTGGGTTTAACTCAGGACTAAGGGCTGGCCACTGCATAATGTTGACACCGTTCTGCTGTAGGAAATCCCGTGTAGGTCTGTCAGTATGGGCCCGGGCGTTATCATGCTGGAAAATGTTGTTCCGGTGACGTGCGAAATGTGGTACGACGTTGGGTCTGAGAGCTTGGCCGATGTACATAGCGCACCGCTGTAATACCGCCTCCTCTCCCTGGCCCAAGGTTCCGGAACACAACAGGACTGTCGTGGCGATTCTATCCATTCAGCCTCATGAGCAACAGTTAAGAAACCCGACACAAGCATTACCCACGATTTTATGGAAACCTCGTTTGTCTTATGTTTACGTAATACATAAACTCGCATACTGAAATATGGTCATTTTGAAAGGGTTGAGAGAAGGCCAAATGTCATTTCACATAAGTCTGCTGTAGGGGTTTAAAATAAGATAGTAATTGTGTAGGTATATTTACGAGGTGAGGTGAAATGGGTTTAACGTCGTACTTAAGAATATTTCGCTCATGCGTGTGTATGTGTGGCGGTTTGTACTAGCCCAAACTTAAGCTGGTTTTATAGTGCTAGTCTGTCGTGTAGACCCTGAAGCAAATATATCCAAGAAATCCCACGCAAGTCTAGAAAATGTGGCAAGTCGAAGAAAGTCCCTGGGCTCCTTTTTATTGTATTTACAATCTTAATTTAAAAACTTTTATTTTCTGCAAAATATGTTCGTTTCAGAGACTAGCTGTTAGTCTATTATAGTGCTAGCTCACTGAGATACCATGCCGCAGTTAAGCATGAATACCCCACTCAGACACATTATACCGACTCCGAGCCGATCAGTCCTCGTTTTACCCATTAATGCCGAGCGCCAGGCAGGGACCAACATGTACCATATCTTAACGTCTTTTGGTATGATGCGGCCGAAGATCGAAACCGCGACCTTCCGCTCTCCGGGCGGTCGCTCTATAACCGCTACACCACGGAGGCGGATGCTGTTGATCACTGGATTGTCTGGTCCAGATTCGATTATTTAGAGACCACCGCCATATAGCTGTTATGTTGCTGAGTGCAGCGTAAAACTGAACTCACTCACTGACTCTATTTTACACCATGAATTTTGGGGACAATGTGGCCTATAAACATAGATATATTGAGAATTGTCCTACACCTAAAAAATAGAACGTGCTCACCTCTCGCGTGATAAATCGTTCACTTCCTGATATTATACATTTCTTCCCTCCGCCGCTCCTACTGTGTGATTATTTAATTCGGAAATAATTCACTGATAAACGACGGGGAACAGCTTACTTGTTGGGTACTTTATCAAACATTGTGTTAATTGTCTATCATGATATTTAAGCATTGGAACTTACCTCCAATCGAGTGAGTGAGTGAGTTTAGTTTTATGCAGCTTTCAGCAATATTCCAGCAAAATCACAGAAATGAGCTTCACACATTGTACCCATGTGGGGAATAGAACCCGGGTCTTGAGTCTGTAAATAATCATGTCTGGACCAGACAATACAGTGATCAACAGCATACGCATCGATCTACGCAATAGGATTAGATGACATATGTCAGCCAAGTCAGCGAGCCTGACCACCCGATCCCGTTAGAAGCCTTTTACGACAAGCAGGAGTTGCTGAAGACCAATTCTAACCCTGATCTTCAAGCGATAGCAACATGTAATATAATTACACGCATGGTTGCCATCTCAACAAGCCTCTGTTCACAATCATCTGAAAGAGGTCTTTCAAGGACGGCAAAAAGAATCGATAGTCCGGTTTGGCATCAGAGCTTCCATCAGCGGACAGTATAAACAGCTACAGGGACAGCTGCTGAGAGGTACAGGTAAGTAGGATTAGACCAGGGAACTAGTCCATTGAAACAGCTGTATGGGTTAAGGTACATGTACTGTTTGAAAACTGGGGTTTCTGAGAAGTAGGGCATAGGACATTTGGGACTAATCCATATCAGGTCACCGTGGTCGTATAAACCTCGGCCCAGAGACGAAAATCAGGGTTTTACCCTCAGCCTGGCTAGGCACCGACATAACAACTACTACCACACCTCTGGCGCACAGTGGTTCTTGCGTGCGTGTGTGCGTTCGTGTACCCTACGAGTATCCGGTATGTTTGTATAGGGCACACCGCACAGCGTCAAAACGGCATCATGATCGCGAAAACGCCAAACCGAAGCCAGTTTTGTTTTACGTTGCCTGAGCGTGTGCGTGCGTGATTCAACGTCACTCTCAGCAATATTGTCTCAGCTCTATCAGCTCCACACAGAGACCATATACCAGGGTGTGGTCTCTGTTTCAGGCGACAACAACAGATAGAGTCTAAATCTAAGTCTAAACTAAGAGTTCCTGCGCTTGAACAATAAGTGTTGTGTATATAAACCTATAGCTAGATCTATAATCATGAGCCCTTTACAAAGACAATACACTGATGCCCATCTCACACTCGCATAAGAGAGCTTCCGATCTTATTCAGTGCTTGCTCAGTCTCTGGTTTGAATATATTGCATAACGTTAACACCCTCGTCCCTTTATAAGGTACAGCTTACTTTTAAATGTTCACTCGCGGAAAACTAGTCTATCATTCGTATTTTTTTTTATCCTAAATGCGTTTAATTATTATATATATTTTATCTTTTTTAACTTTAATCTTCTCATGTGGTGTATATTACTCTACGACATGGATATATGCTTTATGTACCTTAAGCTTACGGGAAGGTCGCGGGTTCGATCCCCGACCGCGTCATACCAAAAGACGTTAAAATATGGTACTTGTTGGTCCCTGCCTGGCGCTCGGCATTAATGGGTACAACAAGGACTGGTCGGCTCGGAGTCAGTATAATGTGTTTGAGTGGGGTATTCATGCTTCACTGCGGCATGGTATCCCAATGGGCTAGCACTATAAAAAACCCAGCTTCAGTCTGGGCTAGTACAAGCAGCCGCACATACACATACACACGCATGCACGTCGTCATATGAGCGAAATATTCTCAAGTACGACGTTAAACTCAATATCACCTCACCTCACCTTAAGCTTACGCAGGGATATATATACATGTATGAATATGTTTACTCATTAGCAAGTTACCAGAGTAAAGTAAGACATTAAGTTATGGGAGACGGTAAAAATTTCATACAGGCATTTATACATATACAAATAGTATTAAATACGATAGTTTATCCATATAAACTAAGTTTTCTACGTTGTAGTATTAAAAAGCAGGTTTGAGAAACTCGTGTTTGAAAAGGACGCATAACATTTCACAGTTTGACAATGTTATTGGCACTTCAGCCGTAACGTTGTACAGAGGGCAATATAAGAGGTCACACAAGGGACGATGTCATAATACATCTTTGTCTTCAATAGATTAATTACAAACAAATTCTATCCTAAACATTTAAATGTGTATGTACATGCGCTTTAATGCTTCATGCTTCCCTGGCCTTTATCTTTTCACTGTACAAATAAGGAGAAATAGGATTAACCACGTTTGACTTGAATACTTAATGACTAGAACAGGCCCAAGAACGTGTATCACATTATTTGTTATGACTTACAAATTAAAACGGTCGTTCTCTCTTGCGCTGTGATTGTTTCCTAAAACTGCGGTTTTCTCTGGGGCACCTAATGGAACATACGACTGGAATAATGTAAAAATTATATTAAACACATATGTTTCCAGCTCAAAGTTGCCACGAGCAATTAAAAGTGTCTGGTTCATAATGGCATATTTGCACACCGCCGCATGGAACATTGCTAAGAACGTCTTTAAACAACGAATTAAAGAAAACAAATTTCTTAATGCCAAATAGCTTCAATGTACTATGTGAGACAATTTGGGATCGCGCCGTTTTCGCCTAGTGCCGCATTAACGATGAGAGAGTAAAGAAATCTCTTGTACAAGTGAACCATAGTGTTTTCTTATAAAATAATTGTGGTCAATGTCTGTTTATGTTTTCTCTGATAGTTAGTCTGGGTATCAATCTGATTTGCTCGAGTAACTAGGAACAACTTTAGCTGCACGCGTATTGTACGGGTTCACCTTACATGGTTTTATGATACTAAACATGTCGACGGTTAATTATCAGTGCGTATCCAATACTAGCTTCGCGCGATGCACATATGAGCAGCACATGGACGGGCTCGGATGGTTTTACGAGATCGTGTAAGTGGCAGCCTTTGATCGAACCGTATACCCTGTGTTATGTTATATTCTCGGTACAAACTAGTGTTTTAGACCTGGAATATAGATTTACATAAAAAATGGTTGTGTTTGCAATGTGAATCTCTTGAAATGTATCGATAGTCAAAGACTTTTTTTGACTGAATCGTCAAAACGCACCGTTGGTCGCAGAACATGGCGTAATGGTTTTCACGCGCAAATGTAAGGAATTCACGGTTTAAGCAAGTAAGTAACTATGTTGTTGTGATGTTTATGAATGATATCGTTTGTCCCCAAACCATTTACGGAATAGTCCGATTGAAAAACATTAGCAGTAGCAGGTGTTTTCAATATACCTCCGCTTTCCTCCATCCCGTCTTATCTCGTTCTGCGTTAGCCGAGAGACGCGAAGGGGTCCCACAGTCAAGACATGACCTTACATCGCGGCTCCTGGTAATCTCAAATAACATGGTAATGATTTGCTCCGTGAAGTATTGGATTATTAACATCGTTATATGGTCGGAGATCTCTCTCTCTCTCTCTCTCTCTCTCTCTATCTCTCTCTCTCTCAGGATCTGATTTGTAGACGTACAATATATGTTGTTATACAGTGTAGATGTACAATATATGTTATACAGTGTAAATATACAATATATGTTATACAGTGTAGATGTACAATATGATATGTTGTTATACAGTGTAGATGTACAATATGATATGTTGTAATACAGTGTAGATGTACAATATGATATGTTGTTATACAGTGTAGAATTCAACATGATGGGTAGTTGTGATATGGTCAACTCAAGAATTATAGCCTGTTTCCAAATTTTCATACATGTTATTTTTAGTTTTGGAAATGTCTTTTTTTAAAGCTATGTATTTTTCAGTTTTAAGTACATCCCTTTAAATCTTTATTTATTATGCCCTGAGTTTTAAAACCTGTATTTTATACAATTGTAGGGGTTGACTTAAGGATAACTTCTTTGAGTGGCATTTTAGAAGTTGGGAAATACAATATTGAACAAACTTTATGGAAAACAAAAACTTTTATTTCGTGAGTGCGACATTTCGATGCAGATTCTTTACCGTTGTCAAGCAGGAACTGAAGCAAACATCTTGATTTAAGGAACTTGATTTAAATTTGCACCTGGTGCATGTTACCATGCAAACTAAATGGCAAAACAAAACAAGGTTATTAATTTAGCTGAAACATAAGTGATAGTCACATTAACAAATGATGTGTTGCTGTGAAATGTCACAATATGCAGAAGTTTTATGGATTGACAACTTCTTTATTGTCACAGATGTGACAATTCAGTGTAGATGCTTACATGGTCATTAAGCAAGTAATACCTAACATTATTCACAAAGATAATTTATACATAAGTTAAGGATAATTAATTATATGTAATTGAGGTTGATGTCCCGTGATTACATTGCTGATTTGTGGTGATGGATAATAGCAGAGACCATATACCGGTCTATATCGGTATACATGTATATCAGTATATGGTCTCTGATAATAGTTATGAGTGAGTGAGTGAGTTTAATGTTACGCCGCTTTTAGCAATATTCCACAATATCACGGAGGGGGACACCAGAAATGGGCTTCACAATTGTACCCATGTGGGGAATCAAACCCAAGTCTTCGGCGTGACAAGCTACCACTAGGCTACCCTACTGCCTCTGAAAGGGGTTACTGTTGATTGGACTTGCTGCAGGGATATAATAACCTTGATCTCTGTTGATTGGCCTTGCTGCAGGGATATAATAACCTTGATATCTGTTGATTGGACTTGCTGCAGGGATATAATAACCTTGATCTCTGTTGATTGGCCTTGCTGCAGGGATATAATAACCTTGATCTCTGTTGATTGTTAGGTTCAGTTGTGAGAAATTATTCCCAGAATGTATGACATTAAACCTCTAAAAAGACAAATCACACATAACAGAGGGATTTGTGTTGTTGTATGGAAATTATACTTTAGCGTTACTGAGTGTGTTAAAATATTGATTTTGTGAGGACAGAAAAATTGATTTTGTACATGCACCCAGTACATGCAGACATAAATATTTGATTGCATTTTTCACTGACAGGTCCCACTGGCACATGTCCTGTATAGCCAAGTTGAGCCTTGCTAGAGACACAAATATATCCTTTTGCATCCTGCATTACATGATTAATCTGGTACATTTTGATTCAACACCACGAATTGGGGAAAAGAAACCCAATTATTGAGCTGTATGATTCACAAAGTATATCTGGGGATTGGAAATTTGAAAGTGTCTCAGTATTGAGAAAGGCAAAAAACACAACAGGTTTTCAAATTCCCAAAGCTAAAGATGGCCCCAAACCTATATGGTTGATTACTGGCCTCAACATAGCTTCTTGTTGAAATTCTTCAAAGGCATTTAGGCCTTAAAAAAAAAGTTGTGGTTCCGATTACCTGACTGACCTTTGAATTCTGGTGCAGACCCTATTTTTTTTTAAGCGGAATGAATAAAATAAGCTTTCAGATACCATTGTTTTTTCCTGGCACCGACAGACTTCAGTCATTCTGATAGAGAAAGTTGATATGATGGCCGCAAGCTTGATTGAATAAACAATTACACATTGATAAATGTGCTGTTAGTTTGTACTTTACTTCTAGGAAAAATATGTAAAAAAAAGAAGAAAATTCCTACCTAACCACCTACCCTAAATTTAAAAGAGGTGTTATCGGAACCACAACATTTTTTGGGGGGGCCTTAGAAGTTGGTTTAGTAATACAAGACAAGACGAAGCTTATGGATAACAACTTCTATATTTGTGTCTCACAATGTGTCTGGGCTAGTTCTGCCCCTAGCTTCTTGTTAATACTCTAAACTTCCAAGGCGACACCTAAGCATCTCTGTAATCACCAAGGCTTATGTGAGACACCCCATACCATTTCCGTCCCTTTGTTAAATGACAAGGAATTTGAATTCACCACACAACCAAGCTTCACGCCTCCCTGATCACAGCACAATATCTACTCGGAGCTCATGCTACTTACTGCATGGATGGCCAAGCCACATATTGTATGACCCCCCCTCCCAGTTCCCTGAATTACACCATCCCAAGACTGTTTAGTTTATTGGAAGGAGTCTTCTGGAAACGTCACCTTGGATATATGGGTTTGAATTAGTCTTCAGGAAAATGTGTTGCTGTGAGAGGCGACAAATAGGGTCGGCTGATTAGCCAGGCTGACATGTTTGCTGTTGTATTGATAAGTGCTGGAGCGATTGATCGAATGATGGATCAATCGACTGATCGTGTTTGCATCAGTAATTATTGATGACCTCGGGAGACTAATCAATATTCGTAAAAAAGGAAACATCAAATTAAACTTTGGAAAGTATGTTTCTTATTGTTATGTTTGTTAAATCAAGACATTGACAACTCATGCAGTTTCCTGACTTGTAAAACTGCAATGTAAACATACTCTTGAGCTTGTCTCAACACAAAGTATCCTCGATTGTCTTAATCGTGGTATTAATGGGTGATTGTTTTGTTTGCACAATGTTATGATTGTGTCCCCTTATCACCAACAATAGTTTTACGGTGGGGTTTTCCATTAAAATCCATTATTGATCAATATATTGAGCTCCGATTACCGATCTGCATATTGTGAGCGGTAACTAGCACTAGTATTGATTGATGCTCATGATGTCAATCACTGGCTCGTCTGCTTCAGACAAGATTACTTCCAAACTGCCATCATATGTACTAGTGGGAAAATTTAACTGTGCTTCATATGAAAAATGTATTTATGATGAAATTAAATAACACATGTTTCAAAACATGTTCATGAAGACATCTTGAGGTCGTGATTCACAAGTGTGTATACACGCAAGGTACCCAAGTTGGATGTTTATGTGTTTGAAGCATGATATTCCATACAGGTTTTTGAATGTGAATAGCACACAATGATTGTTTGGCTGTCCAATGCTTGTAGAAGTGCGCTTGTTTAACAATAAATAATGCTTATGAAATGCCACAGGTTAAATAAAAACTAACCTTTTTGTACCGTGGGTGTGCTGCAAACAGGAATGGTTACACAAATGTTGCAGTTAATGTTCTAGACACAATACAGTCTGTTTGGAGACGCTATGTTAAGTCACGTCAACAAGACAACCATATTCAGTTGTTGCATTTATGGACTTGATAACAAACTGATAACAGCTTGGACAATTCCTAGGTTTAGAGTGAGCGAGTGAGTTTAGTTTTATGATGCACTCAGCAATATTCCAGATATATGTCGGTGGTCTGTAAATAATCAAATCTGGACCGGACAATCCAGTGATCTACAGCATGAGCATGACCTACGCAATTGGGATACAATGACACATGTCAACGAAGCCTGCGAGCCTCAAAAGCCCGATCCCGTTAGTCACCTCTTGGGTTGCTGAAGACCAATTCTAATCTGGCTCTTCATGGGTTTCTGCGGTTTATCATGGATCTCTGACGTTTAGAAGACAAGACTGGGACTGTATACCGTTCACAGATGAGTCCATGTTTCATGACAACGTTGTGACAACGTGAAATTGCTGGCTGGGTAGTAACATATGCAGGTTGTAAGAGACGAGAAATACAGCCTTGTTGGCTTGATTGATGGCGTGTCATGGAACATTCCAGACTAAAGCACAACACTGATGTAGTATAGGTCAGGGATGAAGTTATAACTCTGTCCTCCACGTGACCCGGTATCCAGGTTAGTTGACTCCTGATTGTTTGTCTAGAAGCTTTAGTACGTGTGAATCGTAGTACTGTGTTACATTTGTCCTGTTGGTGTACAAGGTGAGTGGTTTGTGAGCAGCATAATAACCAGTAACTGTATTATCCCCCGCCATGAAGTGGGAGGGGGATATAGGTTTGAGTTCCGTCCGTCCGTTCATACTTCCGAGATGATGGGGACAGATTTTCTCAAAACCATTATAGATAGGGAAACCAAATTTGGTATGTGTTTTTAGGACATGAATGCCTTGATGTAGTTTGAAAACGGAAACCGTGTTACAATTTGTTACAGAGTTATGGCCCTTGTTATCCGTTTCTTGAGTTAGTGCACGTTTTAACCTAATGGGAACAGATGTTCTCAGTGACCGTTAGACAGGGAAACCAAATGTGGCATGCGTTTTCAGGACATGAATGATGTGGTGGAGTTAAAAAAACAGGAACCAAATAGGAACTGAACACTGGCAGGGGATATTGATGACCATGTCTTCTTGTTCTGTTAACCTGGGTAGTCACAACATGCATTGCAGAAAAAAACAGATTCTACTGGCAAACAAGGATAAGTTGAACACCGACCTGACAATTGACCCATATTAGCATGTATGAGTGCCGCCCACTGGCGCTTGCCATTGTTAGCGAAGGGGCCCCAGGTTGTTTGTGATCAAGTGTCGTGCGATGCATGAAGCAAGACGTGTGCAGCTACATGCGGAATTAATTTCATCGTCATGCAATGCACGTGCACTAGCCTACATTTGCTCTACCTTTCCAGTGTATGAAATACGCCCCAAACCCAGCCAGACAGATTGTTACCAGCCCAAAATGTATTTAACCAGACCAGACACCAAGAATTTACTCAGATGTATGGAACATCTAAAATTTGCACCAGACCGTGGGCTGGCTAGCTGTGAATTTAGACCTTCCGTCAGAAATCTAGCCCATCTCAGGCGGTCGGACGGGCCTTATTTCATTCACTCACCTTTCACAAACCACATGGGTTAACTCATTGCTGTGCACCACCTACGTTTCGTAAACTTCTCTGTGCCAGTCCAACTTATCCTTGTTTGCCAGTAGTACTTTTGTTAGGTTGAGTCCCATCCGGGATTTGAACCCACATCCTCAGTGTCAGGCACCTAATATTGTCTCAGAGTCCTAATACCCAATTCCTATCCTGGTACCTAAAGGCTGACTTTAGATGGCTGACTTTGTGTCCTGGTGATTAGGTACCTGACTTTGAGAGTGTGGGTTCGAATCCCGGATTGGACTCAACCCAACAAAAGTACTAGAATCTGCACTTCACTGAGAAAGTGTAATCCTAAATATAACACGTTACATTTGACCACTTTTTAAATGGCATTGTTTATTCACAGAATAATATTGTGTCTTATAAAGATTGTTACAAATGTCTATCAATTCAAGAAAAACTGATTTTGAAAGCCCATGGAACAAGAGCATTTTTGTGTTTCAACAGTCCTCTTGTAGAATGTATTTTGGCAGGGAGCCAGGTGGATCCTGTCTGAAATACTTCTTCTTTAAAGACATTTGTGTTATCCAGTCAAAAAATGAAAGAGCACTGCACTTTAAAAAAATTCCAATATGAATTTTCCATTATGACAAGGTCAGCTTATCATCCCTAATATCTGGGTCTTTCTTGCTGTGTGGTATGTAGATTACGACTTCAAAGTAAGTAGGTGGTAGCAGGCCATGAATAAGTCCTTTATCAACAATAGAGTCATAGAATATAAAGAGCTTCGGTGAAAATAGGTGACAGACATTGGCAGGTCAGATATTACCTGGGTGAGCTGGTCGGATATTCACGTGGTCGGATATTCACCTGGGTGAGCTGGTTGGATATTCAAGTGGTCGGACATTCACCTGGGTGAGCTGGTCGAATATTCACGTGTTTGGATATTCATCTGGGTGAGCTGGTCGGATATTCACCTGGTTGGGTATTTACCTGTGTGAGCACAGTGCTAGCTGTCAGTCTGTGGGGTTGGTCATCCATCTCTATACACAACTGTGTTTATAAACAAGCATGCTCTTACAGGCTGTTGTTATGTTGTAGGTAGTCCAATATGGTGATCCGTGTGGCAGTTATTGGAGCAGGGGCGGCTGGAGTGTGTGCCATGCGGCATCTTCTGGCTCGGTCCGATGTGTTCGAGGGAGTGTGTTTCGAGCAGTGTTCCCAGCTGGGGGGCATGTGGATCTACAGGGAAAATGCCTTTGCTGATGAGAATGGAGCGCCAATGTTGGCTTGTATGTATAAAAACCTCAAGTAAGTTGACAAGATGGCCGGTGGGGCATGGACATAGGTTGTACATGAGGTGACAAGTTGACTGGTGGGAGATGTCAAAGTGACACATGGTAGACCACACTGATACTATGTAGATATTATGTTGACATAATTACTGTAGATATCTCTTGGATGCATAGTGTACAGAATGGACACCTAGTAGACATGGAATATCAACTTACCTGTTGGTAGATATATTGTTGACAGTTGGTAGACATGGAATATCAACTTACTTGTTGGTAGATATAATGTTGACAGTTGGTAGACATGGAATATCAAGTTACCTGTTGGTAGATATGACAGTTGGTAGACATGGAAGATCAAGTTACATGTTGGTAGAAATAATGTTGACAGTTGGTAGACATGGAATATCAACTTGCTTGTTGGTAGAAATAATGTTGACAGTTGGTAGACATGGAATATCAACTTACCTGTTGGTAGATATAATGACGACAGTTGGTAGACATGGAATATCAACTTACCTGTTGGTAGATATAATGTTGACAGTTGGTAGACATGGAATATCAACTTACCTGTTGGTAGATATAATGTTGACAGTTGGTAGACATGGAATATCAACTTACCTGTTGGTAGATATAATGACGGACAGTTGGTAGACATGGAATATCAACTTACCTGTTGGTAGATATAATGTTGACAGTTGGTAGACATGGAATATCAACTTACCTGTTGGTAGAAATAATGTTGACAATTGGTAGACATGGAATATCAAGTTACCTGTTGGTAGATATAATGACAGTTGGTAGACATGGAATATCAACTTACCTGTTGGTAGATATAATGTTGACAGTTGGTAGAAATGGAATATCAACTTACCCATTGGTAGAAATAATGTTGACAGTTGGTAGACATGGAATATCAACTTACCTGTTGGTAAATATAATGACAGTTGGTAGACATGGAATATCAAGTTACCTGTTGGTAGATATATAGACATGGAAGATCAAGTTACCGGTTGGTAGATATAATGATGACAGTTGGTAGCTATTACATTGACACCTTGTATACATCATACCATTATATGAAGTTGGTGGTAGACACAATGTTGCCAGTATATAAAGTTGATGGTAGACACAATGGTGCCTGTATTAAAGTAGATAGTAAAGATAATGGTGCCAGTATATAAAATTGATGGTAGACATAATGGTGCCTGTATATAAAATTGATGGTAAACATAATGGTGCCTGTATATAAAGTTGATGGTAAACATAATGGTGCCTGTATATGATGGTAAGTTAATGGTGATATATACATTGAATAAACATAATGGTGCCAGTATATAAAGTTGATGGTAAAACATAATGGTGCCTGTATATAAAATATTGATGGTAGACATAATGGTGCCTGTATATAAAGTTGATGTTGATGGTAGTATATAATGTATATAAAGTTGATGGTAAACATAATGGTGCCTGTATATCAAAGTTGATGGTAAACATAATGGTGCCAGTATATCAAGTTGATGGTAAACATAATGGTGCCTGTATATAAAATGATGGTAGTATAATGTTGCCCTGTATATAAAGTTGATGGTAAACATAATGGTGCCAGTATATAAAGTTGATGGTAAACATAATGGTGCCTGTATATCAAGTTGATGGTAAACATAATGGTGCCTGTATATCAAGTTGATGGTAAACATAATGGTGCCTGTATATCAAGTTGATGGTAAACATAATGGTGCCTGTATATAAAGTTGATGGTAAACATAATGGTGCCTGTATATAAAGTTGATGGTAAACATAATGGTGCCTGTATATCAAGTTGATGGTAAACATAATGGTGCCTGTATATCAAGTTGATGGTAAACATAATGGTGCCTGTATATCAAGTTGATGGTAAACATAATGGTGCCTGTATATAAAGTTGATGGTAAACATAATGGTGCCAGTATATAAAGTTGATGGTAAACATAATGGTGCCTGTATATCAAGTTGATGGTAAACATAATGGTGCCTGTATATAAAGTTGATGGTAAACATAATGGTGCCAGTATATAAAGTTGATGGTAAACATAATGGTGCCTGTATATAAAGTTGATGGTAAACATAATGGTGCCAGCTGATATAAACAGGTGCCTGTTGATTGATGGTAACATAATGGTGCCATATATAAAGTTGATGGTAAACATAATGGTGCCTGTTTATCAAGTATATCAAGTTGATGGTAAACATAATGGTGCCAGTATATAAAGTTGATGGTAAACATAATGGTGCCAGTATATAAAGTTGATGGTAAACATAATGGTGCCAGTATATAAAGTTGATGGTAAACATAATGGTGCACTGTGTTGTGCCAAACATAATGGTGCCAGTATATAAAGTTGATGGTAAAATGGTAAAACATAATGGTGCCTGTTAATGGATGCCATATAATGGTAGTATATAAAGGTGATGAAACATAATGGTGCCAGTATATAAAGTTGATGGTAAACATAATGGTAATGGTGCCAGTAATGGTGCCAGTATATAATAGTTGATGGTAAAAAGTTGATGGTGGTGCCAGTATATAAAGTTGATAATAATGGGTGCCAGTATATAAAGTTGATGGTAAACATAATGGTGCCAGTATATAAAGTTAATGGTAAACATAATGGTGCCAGCTGGTAGCTACAACACTGACACCTGACACTGGTACTGGTTTCTAATGTTGACAGTTGGTAGATATAATGGTGACACCCGTAGATATCACGGCCACACATTATGGTAGGTACTAAGTTGACACTACCCTAGTGACCAATCCAGTTAACGGGAATGGAGTCAACAATTCTGTTTTGTAACTTGTGGAATTGTTCAAACTAAGATGGGACCATTTTTCTTTGATTTCTAGAACCAATATCCCGAAGGAGATTATGGACTATCCGGACTTCCCCTTCCCGAAGAACCTGCCATCCTTTGTGCCCCATGAGACGGTGCTGCGGTACCTACAGGACTACGCTGAACACTTCAACGTAACAGGCAGGATAAAGGTAAGGTCAGATCTGTTCTTTCCACATTTCTGGGCTAATAAGACAACAAAACATTGTTCCAAGTTTTTTTCAAGTTTAATTTACATTATGTGATCTTCCTTGAAATTTGATATGCTTACTTGATAATTTGTATTTATATTCTTCATGTTTTAGCTTTTATCATTACTTTTGTGCATAGTGAAAGTCTTACTTTATCGTTATGCTGTCTAAGCAATAGCAGTGCATAACAGGATAGATAAAGTTTCAGGGCTAGCTATAGGGTGTTGGCAAATCTGGTTCAGTGGTCAATTTGGGTGTGATTCTCATTACATTCTCTTATCTTGCTTAGATAATAAAATAATTGGGACAAATGTTTAGAACTAGATGATTCTGGTAAAAAAGTAACACATTATCTGACAGTGGTAAACAATGACTGACAATGGTAAACAGTAACACTTTACCCAACAGTGGTAAACATTGACTAATAATGGTAAACAGTAACACTTTATCTGACAGTGGTAAACAGTAACACTTTATCTGACAATGGTGAACAGTAACACTTTATCTGACAGTGGTAAACAGTAACACTTTATCTGACAATGGTAAACAGTAACACTTTATCTGACAGTGGTAAACAGTAACACTTTATCTGACAGTGGTAAACAGTAACACTTTATCTGACAGTGGTAAACAGTAACACCTTATCTGACAGTGGTAAACAGTGACTAACAGTGGTAAACAGTAACACCTTATCTGACAGTGGTAAACAGTAACACTTTATCTGATAGTGGTAAACAGTAACACTTTATCTGACAGTGGTAAACAGTAATACCTTATCTGACAGTGGTAAACAGTAACACTTTATCTGACAGTGGTAAACAGTAACACTTTATCTGACAGTGGTAAACAGTAACACTTTATTTGACAGTGGTAAACAGTGACACTCTATCTGACAGTGGTAAACATTGACTAACACTTGTAAACAGTGACACTTTATCTGACAGTGGTATACATTAACACTTTATCTGACAGTGGTAAACAGTAACACTTTATTTGACAGTGGTAAACATTAACACTTTATCTGACATTGGTAAACAGTAACACTTTATCTGACAGTGACTAACAGTGGTAAACAGTAACACTTTATCTGTCAGTGGTAAACAGTAACACTTTATCTGATAGTGACTAACAGTGGTAAACAGTAACACTTTATCTGACAGTGGTAAACAGTAACACTATATCTGATAGTGGTAAACAGTAACTAACAGTGGTAAACAGTAACACTTTATCTGACAGTGGTAAACAGTAACACTTTATCTGACAGTGGTAAACAGTAACACTTTATCTGACAGTGGTAAACAGTAACACTTTATCTGACAGTGACTAACAGTGGTAAACAGTGACACTTTATCTGACAGTGGTAAACAGTAACACTTTATCTGATAGTGGTAAACAGTTACACTTTATTTGACAGTGGTAAACAGTAACACTTTATTTGACAGTGGTAAACAGTGACACTCTATCTGACAGTGGTAAACATTGACTAACACTTGTAAACAGTGACACTTTATCTGACAGTGGTAAACAGTAACACTTTATCTGACAGTGGTAAACAGTAACACTTTATCTGTCAGTGGTAAACAGTAACACTTTATCTGACAGTGACTAACAGTGGTAAACAGTAACACTTTATCTGACAGTGGTAAACAGTAACACTTTATCTGACAGTGGTAAACAGTAACACTTTATCTGACAGTGGTAAACAGTAACACTTTATCTGACAGTGGTAAACAGTAACACTTTATTTGACAGTGGTAAACAGTAACACTTTATTTGACAGTGGTAAACAGTGACACTCTATATGACAGTGGAAAACATTGACTAACACTTGTAAACAGTGACACTTTATCTGACAGTGGTAAACAGTAACACTTTATCTGACAATGGTGAACAGTAACACTTTATCTGACAGTGGTAAACAGTAACACTTTATCTGACAATGGTAAACAGTAACACTTTATCTGACAGTGGTAAACAGTTCTTACATTAACTGATACGGGTAAATAGCAACTGATACTGATAGCAGTAACACAGTATCTGACCGTGAAAAACAGTTACGGACAGTGGTAAACAGTAAAATGTTACTTGTCAGTGGTGAACAGTAACTGACATACAAGACAGCTTCTCCATATCTTGAAACATGTGAACTCTTTCTGTAAAGTAACAATGGTATAATAATGAAATCCACAAGAACTTCAGATTTTCATTTCACTTTTTGGTGACCTTGAATAAGACAGATTGAATGTAGTAAGGAGATTAGCACCACCTTGAGAAGATCCTATAGATCCCCAAAAACACATTATTTGCAATTTTCCCATAAAGCCTGGACCAGCCAATTAGAACACAGCATCATTGCTACAAATGATTTTGCCATATATTTATGTCTACGTTAGTTACCAAGATTTGGGGTGTTGACCACTTAATATTTTGGAAGCTCTGTCAGACTTGGAACAATATTATTTTTTGCAAGATTGTGATTATCATGAATTGATTTACACTTTGTACATTTATTCCATTTTTTGTCTTTTAAGCATATATACCAGTATATAATCTGTATTACATCATAGTTAGAAATCCTGTTTAGGCTGTCAGTCACACTAAAATGTAAGGTGGGATTAGTAATTTCTTTCAACCCCAAATCTTCAACTAGATGATGACATCTGGGAAGGATGGAGGGAATAATTTGTGATATAGGTAGTATTCTTAGAATTATCCACATATATGACCATTACATTGTCAGTATATAGTATAAACAGTGGGATCTGGCATCTGGTATCACTAGTAACTTTGCAGCTATGATATCTGAAGACATACACACAATTTGGGAAAAAAGAACACTATTTTTCCTGATATTTAGTTCAAGATCTTCTAATTAAGCGGGTGGTGGGGTGGTTAAAGAGTTTGCTGGTCACGCCGAAGACATGGCTTCGATTCCCCACATGGGTACAATGTGTGAAGCCCATTTCTGGTGTCCCCCACCCTGATATTGCTGGAATATTGCTAAAAGTGTCCTAAAACCATGCTCACTCACTGCTTTTTAAGAAGTGGTCATCTTGGAAGCTATTTCCCGTTGGAAAGCCAGAACGATGAGTATGATCACACAGTCTGCCGTCAGTACTCTGGCCAGGAGAGACCAATACTGGTATTTTGATAAGCCATCAGCTTTCATCTTTGTCAAGATCTTTGTCAGGAATGAAGGTGAAGGTTGTTGAGACTGCCATAAAAGGTGCAGAGGATTGTGGGGTTCTTCTTTTGCAAGAGGTGGTCATCTGGAAAGCCAAAACTATGAGTATAATCACACAGTCTGTGTGCTCTATTTTTGATCAGTACCCTGTCCAGGAGAGACCAAGTAGGGGATTTTGACGTGAATTGTTCCCGTCCAGCTAATGTGACATCCACCTAGAGTGGGTCTGGTACACAGGAGGCTTCATGGAGGTGGTGAAGAGATCAAGATGTGGAGTATCTCTGATCGAGGGTGTCCACTTGAATAACTATGGATGAACAGACCATTTGGTGGGTAGGATTCTGTATGCGTAATTATATAAGCTGCCCGAGTGGGTGATGTTGTTCCATCAATAAGCCTGCCTTCAACAAAGGCTGAGATCTACTGGCCTGGCAAACAAGGATATGTTGAGCACCAACCTGACAATTGACCCATATTAGCATGTATGAGTGCTGCTCACTGGCGCTTGCCATTGTTAGCTGAAGGGACCCCAGGTTGTCAGCGATCAAGTGTAGTGCGACTTGCTACACCGTCGTGAAATTCTTATGAGCAAGGTGTGTGCAGCTACATGTGGAATCAATTTCATCATCATGCAATGCACGTGCACTAGCCTACATCTGCTGTACCTTTCACAAACCAAATGGGTTTGCTCATTGCCATGCACCGCCTACTTCTCGTTGCCAGTAGTGCCCCCATGGTGCTGTATGTACGCTTTGCTGTGGTGTTGTCACCACTTTCAAATGGTGTAGCCAAACTTGCCATTGTAACACCTCTGGCACTCTTGAACCAAGAGTGTAGCGGAGTGGTGTACAAAGAATGAGTGTCTTCATTCACTCAGTACAGCTTTTTGAGTCGGGCAAACAGTTTACACAGAATCTGACAGAGGAAGTCAGCGAAGTCAGACTGAGACTTGGGCAGCAGATGGGTTTGACTGGCTGGCCAGTGTTCGTCCCTCCTTTTCTCTGGCTTGCCTTCTGCTGGTCTGTCATGCTCTTCCCACTGTCTGCCAGCTCTTCTTTTGCTTTTAAGGCACATGAACGACTAACAATCTGCTTAGGTTGGCAATTGTCATGGATATAATCTGCCTAGCTGGTCACATTTTGACCAATTTAACATATCTCTGACTTGCGTACTCGGCAAAAAGTGTTACACCATGCTAAGATAGCTTGGAAAATTGCTGTCATTTCCAGCTAATGTTCAACGTGATGTCTTTGGTCGACCATTTACCCTGTTCTGTGACGTCCATCCCTAATCCCTATCACGAATTTGAAACACCTGTATACAGATTATGTATTGGGTGGAAATATGGGAGGTATCACATTGTGAGGTCGTAGCCACAAGTGGGGTCTGACAGAAAAGGTGTTAGTGCATCTAAATCCGTTGGTTATCATCTAGGCTTGTTTGTCTTAAATACATGATGATGTCAGCAAAGTTTACATGGTGAAATAAATAAATGTGCCATTGTGGGATCAGCAATTGCTTTAAATATCTGACATGCAGGAAAGAAGTAATGTTTTCTTGCAGCGTTGCATTCCTGCTGACGAAAAGTGTTATCCTCACAACTTTTAGATAAGTTTTGTTTTTTAGTTTTTAGTTTGACTGACATCCAAAACAGGAGTTTGTGGCTGTGATGTAATAAAGGAAGGTATTTGAAGGAATGATGTTGTTTCACAAAAATACAGAAACAGAACTGCAGTAATAATTGTGAAATTACGTGATGAAATGCCATAGTTGCTGGCACAAAGGGGATTTTCTCCCATCTAGACTATTTTCCAGGGTAAACCTTGAGGGTGCCCTCAAAAGAGAAGAGTATACCACAACTAGCGGCCTATGGCCAGCTATGTGGTAAACTAGATTAACATGAACATAACACCACATCTCAAGGCCACACAATGAAGAAAGGTGAGAACAAATATGCTTGTAAATGTATTAAAGGTGTTACGATGTCCGCTTTGGTATTAAGAGTTCTTTGGTTTGGATCTGTTTTAAATGAGGTTTGCTGACATGCCTCTATTTAATTAAAAAATATTTTAAACAGTGTTAAACACAGGTGTGGTCACTGTTTGACCTGTTAGTGACATTTACCTTGATACATTTACAAAAGTCAGGGTTCTGCTTAAAAATGACTGTCACTTGCCTGTATAGACAGTTAGAAAAAAGTATTGCAACACCCTGTATTTTTCATAGAGCCACTATGTTACCATCCACAAGATCCAGTGTATTAAAGCAACAATTTACTGCACCATTCATGGACTGAAAGATAAAGGTGAATACTATAAATGTGAAGGGAATACTAGCTAGAAAAATGACCTATGGGATATGCTGCATGTATTGCAGCCCTGTATTCATGGGGTGTATGTTGCAGCCCTGTATTCATGGGATATGCTCCTTTATGTTCAGGGCATGTATTGCAGTTCTGTATTCATGGGATATACTGCTCTATATTCAGGGCATGTATTGCAGCCCTGTATTCGTGGGATATGCTGCTCTATATTCAGGGCATGTATTGGAGCCCTGTATTCATGGGATATACTGCTCTATATTCAGGGCATGTATTGCAGCCCTGTATTCGTGGGATATGCTGCTCTGTTCAGGGCATGTATTGCAGCCATGTATTCGTGGGATATGCTGCTCTATATTCAGGGCATGTATTGCAGCCCTGTATTCAGGGCATGTGTTGCAGCCCTGTATTCATGGAATATACTGCTCTATATTCATGGGATATACTGCTCTATATTCAGGGCATGTATTGCAGCCCTGTATTCATGGGATATACTGCTCTATATTCAGGGCATGTATTGCAGCCCTGTATTCATGGGATATACTGCTCTATATTCAGGGCATGTATTGCAGCCCTGTATTCGTGGGATATGCTGCTCTATATTCAGTGCACGTATTGCAGCCCTGTATTCATGGGATATACTGCTCTATATTCAGGGCATGTATTGCAGCCCTGTATTCATGGGATATACTGCTCTATATTCAGGGCATGTATTGCAGCCCTGTATTCATGGGATATGCAGCTCTATATTTAGTGTATGTATTGCAGCCCTGTATTCATGGGATATACTGCTCTATATTCAGTGCATGTATTGCAGCCCTGTATTCATGGGATATGCTGCTCTGTATTCACTAATTCAGGGCATGTATTGCAGCCCTGTATCCATGGGATATACTGCTCTATATTCAGGGCATGTATTGCAGCCCCTTTATTCTTGGGATATGCTGCTCTATATTCAGGGCATGTATTGCAGCCCTGTATTCATGGGATATGCAGCTCTATATTCAGGGCATGCATTGCAGCCCAGTATTCATGGGATATGCAGCTCTATATTTAGGGCATGTATTGCAGCCCTGTATTCATGGGACATGCTTCTGTATATTCAGGGCATGTATTACAGCGATGTATTCCTGGTATATGCTGCTCTATATTCAAGGGCATGTATTGCCGTCCTGTATTCGTGGAATATGCTGCTCCATGTCCAGGGCATGTATTACAGCCATGAATTCCTGGGATATGCTGCTCTATATTCAGGGCATGTATTGCAACCCTGTATTCATGGGATATGCTGCTCTATATTTAGGGCATGTATTGAAGCCCTATATTCATGGGATATGCTGCTCTGTATTCACTAATTCAGGGCATGTATTGGTGCCCTGTATTCGTGGGATATGCTGCTCTATATTCAAGGCATGTATTGCAGCCCTGTATTCTTGGGATATGCTGCTCTATATTGAGGGCATGTATTGCAGCCCTGTATTCTTGGGATATGCTGCTCTATATTGAGGGCATGTATTACAGCCCTGTATTCATGGGATATGCTGCTCTATATTTAGGGCATGTATTGCAGCCCTGTATTCTTGGGATATGCTGCTCTATATTTAGGGCATGTATTACAGCCCTGTATTCTTGGGATATGCTGCTCTATATTTAGGGCATGTATTGCAGCCCTGTATTCTTGGGATATGCTGCTCTATATTCAGGGCATGTATTACAGCCCTGTATTCATGGGATATGCTGCTCTATATTTAGGGCATGTATTGCAGCCCTGTATTTTTGGGATATGCTGCTCTATATTTAGGGCATGTATTGCAGCCCTGTATTCTTGGGATATGCTGCTCTATATTTAGGGCATGTATTACAGCCCTGTATTCTTGGGATATGCTGCTCTATATTTAGGGCATGTATTACAGCCCTGTATTCATGGGATATGCTGCTCTATATTTAGGGCATGTATTGCAGCTCTGTATTCATGGGATATGCTGCTCTATATTTAGGGCATGTATTGCAGCCATGTATTCGTGGGATATACTGCTCTATATTCAGGGCATGTATTGCAGCCCTGTATTCTTGGGATATGCTGCTCTATATTTAGGGCATGTATTACAGCCCTATATTCATGGGATATACTGCTCTATATTGAGGGCATGTATTGCAGCCCTGTATTCCTGGGATATGCTGCTCTATATTCAGGGCATGTATTACAGCCCTGTATTCATGGGATATGCTGCTCTATATTCAGGGCAGATATGTATTCGAGTGGGATATACTGCTCTATATTCAGGGCATGTATTGCAGCCCTGTATTCATGGGATATGCTGCTCTATATTCAGGGCAGATATGTATTCGTGGGATATACTGCTCTATATTGAGGGTATGTATTGCAGCCCTGTAATCATATGATATGCAGCTCTATATTCAGGGCATGTATTACGCCACTGCATTCATGGGATGTGCTGCTCTCTTATAATGTAATATACAACAGCTCTATAATCATGGCACGTGAAGATCTGAACATTATGTAAAGACTTATGCCTAAGAATTTTAAAATTTGTCCTTCAAACAGGTAGAAAATGTAACAATATCAAAGTTCATACGTCGGTTAAAGTATATGGGAGTTGCAATATTTATTTCCTTGTGTATATATCTTCCATACTTCTGGATATATTTGAATGTCACTTGGTCAAAAACTGCAGGAGCATAGCCTTTGAAATTGCTTAATGTAGTTTATGAACACATTGACCTTGATCTGATATGTAGTCATTTATGCTTTCAATTCAGACAAATGTATCTTAGAATTGTATGAACAGTTCTTTATGAGGGTATTCCCAACCTTCACATTGGACAACAAGGAAGATATCTCAAACATATCTGATGTGTATCATCTGTCTGTACATGTATGTTTCTTTAAAAAAAATAGAGATTGATGCCACCTTAAAGAGTGAGATAATGCCATAATTTGAAAAAAACTGATAATTATCTTTCTCTTTTTGGCTAACAGTTTAAAACTCGAATTGAGCGTGTAAGCCCAGTCAAGGGAGACAACTCTGGGAAAGTCCGATGGGAAGTGACCTACAGTGATGTTATTGATAAAGAGAACCGCACCACTGAGATGTTTGATGCTGTCATGGTTTGTATTGGGTAAGAAAGTACAATCAGTATTTTTAAGCAAATGTATTTTAAGGGATTAATGATTGATGAACATAGATACCTTGTTGAGAAACAGCTGTTTTGTTGTTGTTACGTCATACACTGCAATATTCCAGCTATACATGGCAAACTGTAAAGAATTTGCCGTGGACCAGATAATCCTGTGATTGATATCATGAGCAAGGATCTATGCAATTGCAAGTGCATGTCATGACATTGTATCAGTCATCATTGTTGGTGCCTTCTTCACTTCAGATTAAGTGGAACTGTACCATGCTTGCTCTTATAGCTGGAATGTTGCTGAGTGCGGCGTAAAACTTAACTCACTCACTCAGTAACTGGGATTGTCAACAGAAGACCCTCAAAAACAGCATGATTTGAGGATTTACTTTTTCAGGGGTGACTAATGGGATTGGGTGGTAGTGCTTGCAGACTTGGTTGACTTTGTTCCGTATAAACTTCTTTGTCATAAGAGGCAACTAACAGAATCTAGAGGTCATTCTAATTGACTTGGTTCATGCATGTCAGCGTATCCCAATTGCGTGGATCAATGCTCATGATGTTGATCACTGGATTGTTTGGTCCAGACTTGATTATTACAGGCTGATGCCATTTAGCTGGAATATTGCTGAATGGCGTTAAACAAAAGACAAACATACCAATTGGATAGTTATTCACTCTAGTGCACATTATTAAATAAGTAAGGATTTCTTGAGCCTTCTACAAACAGCAATAAAATTCTGTTTGGGGAAGTACTTACAAACACTTTTGTCTTGGTCTGCTTTTCCAGAAAATCAATGATTCCACGAATACCTGAGCATCCTGGCCAGGACACTTTCAAGGGTAAGATCCAGCACAGTTGTAGTTACCGAGTACCAGAGCCGTTCAGGGGCCAGCGAGTTGTGTGTCTTGGTGCACATATGTCCGGGCTGGATCTGGCAATCGAGATCAGCAGTGTCGCCGACAAGGTTGGTCAATATTACATCAGTGAATGAATGTTGTTGCATGATGCAAGTGGAAACAATATTTCAGGTTATTAAGTATGGGGATGGTCGGGTAGCCTTGTGGTTAAAGCGTTCGCTTGTCACGCAGAGGACCCGGGGTTTGATTCCCTACATGGGTACAATGTGTGAAGCCCATTTCTGGTGTCCCCAGCTGTGATATTGCTGGAATATTGCTAAAAGCGGCGCAAGACTAAACTCAGTCAGTCTGGTGTCCCCACTATACTCACTCAATGAGAATCAGGAAGTAACTTTGCTAGTAGGTCTCTGATAGTGCTGATATGTGAGTGGGTAAGTGAGCATGGTTTTACGCCACTTTTAGCAATATTCCAGCAAATATCACGGTGGGGGACACCAGAAAAGGGCTTCACACATTGTACTCATGTGGGTAGACTTGCATAAGTCTCTAAGGTAATAATAAATAGTCTAAACGATAATTTCTTTAAATTCCTCTAACGGACTGGTACTGTCCGCTCACCCTCACTCACTAAAACCCTGTTATGGGAATCAGCACAGGTATTGGTCCAAACAACTGTTCCCAATCTTTTGAACAGGGTTGTCTGGAATAACTATACTACTCAAAGAAGTTAAGGAACACTTAATTCTTTAATATCTATAATAACTATAACTCGGTTAAGCAGTATATTTGTGAACCGTGGGGAATTTCTGGAATCGTTTTAGGGTGAGTGAGTGAGTATAGTTTTATGCCACTTTTGGCAATATTCCAACAATGTCACAGCGGGGGACACTAGAAACAGGCTTCACACATTGTACCCATGTGGGGAAACGAACCAGGGCCTTCATCATGATGAGCAAATGCTTTAACCATTAGGCCACCCAATCTTTTAGGGAGTCACAGGCAGGAACTTGAGGGTGCCAGCTGGAATATGTGATCAACCTGGCATTAATACAACATAGCAAAATGTCTGAAGAAATGTTCATTGTTATATCCTTGTTTGAATAAAATATTAACAAAGTAGAAGCTTAGTGCTTGCCCACTGTGGTGCCAGTTTATCATGGATACCCCACTTAAACACAACTTACATACGAGGAACTGGTCTGGCTTTGTTAGGTTCATGTGATGACCAATACAACGCAGAGTAACAAATGTGTTGGTATGACACAGTTGGCTATCTGTTGAAGGGGGTGACTGGGTAGCCTTGTGGTTAATGCGTTCGCTCGTTATGACGAAGACCTGGGTTCGATTCCCCACATGGGTACAATGTGTGAAGCCCATTTTCTGGTGTCCCCTGCCATAATATTGCTAGAATATTGCTAAAAGTGGCGTAAAACGAAACTCACTATCTGTTGACTGTACCATGGAGGCACCACTAGATTGCATGATTTGAATAAACAGTCATTTTAAAGGTGTTTGTTTCCATTCTCAATGTCTCTGCAAAACACACAGTAGTATATCTTGATAATTCTGAAAACGTGCTGAGAAATCTTGTTAGCTTTGCACTTGATTAGGGCTAACCCTTTCAAAATCTGTTCTGTGAAACTGAATTACTTTTGTATTGTTCCATCAGTGAGTGAGTGAGTATGGTTTTACGCCGCTTTTAGTAATATTCCAGCAATATCATGCGGGGGACACCAGAAATGGGCTTCACACACTGTACCCATGTGGGGAATCGAACCCAGTCTTCGGCATGACGAGCTTACGCTTTAACCACTAGGCTACACCACCGCCCCAGTTCCATCAGACTGATTGGACAAGATGTGAAGCTTTGAGATACAGGGGGGAGTGTGAAGCCCAGTAGTTAAAGTGTTTGTTCATCACTCCAAAGACCCGGGTTTGATTTTCCCACATGGGTACAATGTCTGAAGCCCATTTCTGGTGATATTACTGGAATACTACTAAAAGCGGTGTAAACCTAAAACTAACTCATTATGTGAGGACAGCATTGACAATTTGATTTTAACTCATGTTGCAGGTTTTCCTAAGCCATAACAAAGACAAACTGAAGACAATCCTTCCTGCCAATGTCACTGAAGTCAAAGGAATTAAGTCCTTCAATACACACTCAGTTGTATTCTTAGATGGGCAGGAACAGCAGGTGGATACTGTCATCTTCTGTACAGGATATAAAAATACCTACCCCTTTCTCACAGATGACTGCCATGTCAAAGTGCAGGCAGGCAGTAGAGTTACCCCCCTTTACAAACACCTCATTCACACTGAATTCCCGTCCTTGACCTTTGTAGGACTCTGTAAGATGGTGAGTCCTTTCCAGGTCTTTCACCTCCAGATTCTTGTAGTGATGGCCATGCTGGAGGGGAAACTGACGCTACCTTCGAAGGAAGAAATGGACCAAGACACTGAGAAAGATTTTCAGGAGCACTTAGCCAGTGGTCTGCAAGTTCATGATGCACATAGTCTTGATGACCGTCAGTGGTCTTACAATGATCAGTTGGCTGATCTGGCCAACTGTCAGCAGCTTCCAAGAGTGATTGAGAAAATCTGGAACAAGTATCAAGCTATGCTTCACGAAAACTCCCTGACTTACAGAAACATGAACTTTCTCAGGACCAGTGATGAGTCGTTTGATGTGGTTTGCCAAAACGGTGTCTCACATATTATCTGACAGTCTGAACTCTCCATTTGTTGTTTATGGACTTAACAAACTATCAAGATCATAGTATTTTTTTAATGTTTTATGAAAACAATATTATGTGGTGGAAGTTTTGTTAAGTGTGTTCAAGGTCAGAAAGTCCAACCCTTATATGACCTTGCACAGCTCTCGACACACAGTACTTTGATGCTCCTTCCACTACTGAAACACTACGCTGACTGCCCTTCCACTACTGAAACACTACGCTGACTGCCCTTCCACTACTGAAACACTACGCTGACTGCCCTTCCACTACTGAAACACTGTGACTGTGCTTTCCCCACTATTGAAACACTAATGTGACTGTGCTTTCCCCACTATTGAAACACTATTATGACTGTGCTTTCCCCACTATTGACACACTATTATATGACTGTGCTTTCTCAACTTTTGAAACACTATTATGACTGTGCCTTCCCCACTATTGAAACACTAATTTGACTGTTCCCTCCCACTAATATACAACACTAATGTGACTGTGCTTTCCCACTATTGAAACACTATTATGACTGTGCTTTCCCCACTATTGAAACACTACGCTTACTGCCCTTCCACTATTGAAACACTAATTTTTTGACTGTTCCCTCCCACTAATATACAACACTAATGTGACTGTGCTTTCCCACTGCTGAAACACTATTATTGTGCCCCCACTATTGAAACACTATTGATGTTCCCTCCGACTGTATACTTTGACTGTGCTTTCCCCACTATTGAAACACTACGCTTACTGCCCTTCCACTATTGAAACACTAATTTTTTGACTGTTCCCTCCCACTAATATACAACACTAATGTGACTGTACTTTCTCCACTTCTTTCTTGTCAATGTTTATTTCAATGTTCCCCGGAGTGGGTTAAAACAATAATAATGAAGATGACTTTTCCAGGTATATGCAAAATCCTTGAGTCAAGTTTAAGTTGTTAAAATGATCGTGAACATCAGTTCTATATTTATTCATGCAAAATAGTTCCCCAGGAATATGGTAATAATCCGTAAGGGCTGGGACGGCTCCCCTGTTTACTAATTTACTCTGGAGAGTTGATGTCTGATTGGGATGACTCCCAGTTTACTAACCTGGTACACAAACCCCTCCTTCCCCTATACCGACAGTAGGTCTGAAGAATTCAGCATAAAATGTCTGACTATTTGACTGCAGACCTGGCCAAAAGTATTTTGAAAAAAATCTGGTAATTAACCTGACAGAAGCTTCATCTTTGGTCATACAAGACAAACAGAAGTGTGCATTTTAGAAACAAACTGGTACATTGGGGACTCATGAAACCACATAGTTTGGGATACTATTTTCCAGAAAACTGTCCAGGTAACAGGTCCCACTGGGTACCCAGTTGCTAATCCTAGACTGTCTTTCTCTCTCCAAGAATATAGTGGTGAGAAACTAACTAGCCTATGATATAATCACATAGCAGTATATTGTGTATATCACAGTAAAACATTATCTTAATGCACTAACCTGTGTGAGTAGCACCAAACACCATTGTAGAATTTGAATTTTGAATGTGTTTTTTAAAATACTATTATCTTCTTTTATTCCATTAAACACCTGTTCACATCAAAAGATGAAGTGTTTCTTTTACTCGGTGTGCTTCTGAAGATCTCAATAAATTACAATATGATTGGAAGAATTTCAAGTTCATTTTCTGAAAAGGAAGTCAGTAATTGGGTCAATGACCTTTGAAAGCTTTTCAAAGATGAATGCCCATGTCATATGTTTTTATTCAAGGGTTACTGAAAATGATCTTGTGTGTCTTTTTCTGGCATCACCGTTTTGTAAAAGCATATTGGAACCTACACCTGATCATGATTCACAGGTACCGGTACCAGTAGTGCTGTGAATAGGCCAAGAAAATCATTGAAACAGACTGACTGACTGAGTTTGGTTTTACGCCGCTTTTAGCAATATTCCAGCAACATCACGGCGGGGGACACCAGAAATGGGCTTCACACATTGTACCCATGTGGGGATTCGAACCTGGGTCCTCGGCGTGACGAACCAACGCTTTAACCACTAGGCTACCCCACCGCCCCTCATTGAAACAGAATGTAGTCTGTACCAAGTATCTTTCTTGGGGTCCTTCATGTCATAGTATATAAGCATGACAAAATACACTCATAGTTTACTCTGCAACACCGAAACTTAATCTGGGAAACATGCAATACTAGACGACCTTGAAATATTTTCATCAAACTGATGATTCTGGTTCATTACCATTCTCCTCACACCCTTGTGGGGGAGTCTCGGTTACAAAATCATTAATATGTCCCCAGAAACCTATGTCCTATGCGACCGCCTCCGTGGTGTAGTGGTTAGAGTGTCCGCCCGGAGAGCGGATGGTTGCGGGTTCGATCCCGGACCGCATCATACCAAAAGACGTTAAAATATGGTACTTGTTGGTCCCTGCCTGGCGCTCGGCATTAATGGGTACAACAAGGACTGGTCGGCTCGGGGAGTCAGTATAATGTGTCTGAGTGGGGTATTCATGCTTCACTGCGGCATGGTATCTCAGTGGGCTAGCACTATAAAACCAGCTTCAGTCTGGGCTAGTACAAGCAGTGGCACATACACACGCATACACGTCGTCTTATGAGTGAAATATTCTCAAGTATGACGTTAAACCCAATTTCACCTCACCTCACCTCACCTATGTCCTATGCAAGGTTTATTGGTTCATTGTGCGTCATCAAGACAAATACAAGAGACAAAGCTCACAATATTTCACGTCAGACAGCTTGAATATTGACTTGTTCAGTGGTGAACAACACAACCAAACATCCTCAAAAATTAATTCAAAGGAACTTGGTATTACTGGAAAATATAACCCCATAGATTTCAGCTGAGTAAAAGAGTGGGTTCGGTTTGGAGTAAGTGAGTGAGTATGGTTTGGGGCTGCTTTTAGCAATATTCCAGCAATATCATGGCGGGGGACACCAGAAATGGGCTTCACACATTGTACCCATGTGGGGAATCAAACCCGGGTCTTCGGCGCGACGAGCGAATGCTTTAACCACTAGACCACCCCCACCGCCCCATTTGGTTTGGAGCCACTTTTAACAGTAGCAGTGTGTTGGCCTGATGTAGGATGAAAACATGAAGTGATGCAGGTCTTCGTAGTCGGGTAAAGATCCGGGTTGGAATTGGTCTTCAGCAACCTATGCTTATCGTAAGAGGAGACTAACTGGATTGGGTGGTCAGGCTTGCTGACTTGGTTGACACGTCATCGTATCCCAATTGCGTAGGTCGATGCTCATGCTGTTGATCACTGGATTGTCTGGTCCAGACTCGATTATTTACAGAATGCCGCCATGTAGCTGGAATATTGCTGAGTGCGGTGTTAAACAACAAACAAACAAACAAAACACAGTCGACAAATCATTGTCTCACTGTAGTACCCAGCTTGGGTAAACTTGCTGACATTCTGTGTGTTTGTCAATGGGCTTTTGTGTAAGAGACTAGTTCTGCATGAACATCACAACAATCTGAAAATTCTACAGCTTTATCACACTTGTCTCTCAGTCATTCAGTTAAATATATGATACAGTTACATCACTCTGATCTACAAACAATACAGTTTTATCACACTGGCCTACCAATCACAAGTTCCCATCAGAAAGTTTATCACACAGATATATGACACCTGCCCCCCAATCAACCAGCGATACCATATGATAATGGTAAATAAGTCTTTCACAGAACTTTAAGACAATTATTGCTGGAACACATTCATGAAGGACCTTGATGACCGATCTACTCAGCATCAACAGTTGCCAGCAAGTCTTTCCTCACAAGAGGCCTCCAGCCTTGAGTCCCGGATACATGGCCTCGCTTTACACTCATTTCCATCCAGTAAGAAGCACTGTGGGCGGTTGTACCCAGATTAACATCACTGTGTATTAGCACCATGTCTGACTATTTCTGTGAGGACTTCTTCAGCATCTGGTGGTGACAACAGTCTGATAGGCACACACCTTATGGACATTCTCTGGATATATAATGGTTTGTTGGCGATGAAAACTATCACCCTCAGTATCAGGGCTTGCATTTTAGTAAACCTACACTCATCCTTGGATAAATTCCCATGGTTCTTGCAAATGGAAATTACCTGCCCTTGAGTTTCATTATGTTCACTGACCAATCAAACATTGATATAAGGGAGGTAACTGTTATTGGTCAGAAACCAAAGACACCGTCGTGAAGACATCCTATACCTCAAAAGCATTTTTAAGGCTTTTTGCAAACTCAGACATAATTAATGGGATTGGTTGCCACGTTGTAATATTGCAAACCCAACATTGAGGTTTATCTGTAATTTGTATTCCGATTGGCAACGCTACCTGGTGTAGTGAGTGAGTGAGTTTAGATTTACGCCGCACTCAGCAATATTCCAGCTGCATGGTGGCGGTCTGTAAAAAATCGAGTCTGGACCAGACAGTCAGGTGATCAACAGCATGAGCATCGATCTGAGCATTTGGGAACCAATGACATGTGTCAACCAAGTCAGCGAGCCTGACCACCCGATCCCGTTAGTCACCTCTTACAACAAGCATTGTTGCCTTTTGTGGCAAGAATGGGTTGCTGAAGACCTATTCTACCCCGGATCTTCACGGGTCTCTACCTGGTCTAACATAGCGGTCCAATGGAAACCAAGGGTGAGACTAAAAACCATGGGAATGGTTCCAATGGTAAGTGAGTGTGGTTTTACGCGACTTTTAGCAAGATTCCAGCAATATTATGGCGGGGCCACCAGAAATGGGCTTCACACATTGTACCGATGTGGGGAATCAAACCCAGGTCCACGGTGTGACAAGCGAACACTTTAACCACTTGGCTACCCCACTGACCCTGGAGATGTGGAGGATGGAAACCTGACATCACCAAGTGAGCATCATCGGAACATACAACGTCACGTTGATGACGAGAACAGTCTGACAGGCATCCTCCACGTGGGCTTCCTTGTTGTCCCTGTCCTCACAGACTCCAGTTTCTCGGTCCAGACCTCAGACACAAATGTCTCGTTGTACTTGTTCAAAGTCACATTCTGAAGTCTGTCCTCAGAGTAGCTTCCAGAATCAACATTCCCGGTCCTGGCACTGGAATCCTCGCACACATCTCCTGTCTCTCCATCCACATCATCTCCGTCCCCGCCACTGCTGGGGTTTCTGTCATCACCACTTGCGTTACTGTCCTTCAGGTGGATGGGAAACAGGTCGCCCCAGTTGGAGGCTCGCACACAGCTGTACACATCCCTGAAACACAACACCGAGTGAGTGAGTGAGTGAGTGAGTGAGTGAGTGAGTGAGTGAGTGAGTGAGTGAGTGAGTGAGTGAGTGAGTGAGTGAGTGAGTGAGTGAGTGAGTGAGTGAGTGAGTGAGTGAGTGAGTGAGATAGAGAGAGCGAGCTGAATTCAATGCTTTAAAACTGGTCTACCTCAATGACAGTTATCACACACATTGATGAGGGGCTTTAATCTTTGGGTGAGTTTGATGGGATACTCACTTTCCATGTTTCCTGGCTGTGAGAATATCATGGCTGAGTTTGCCGTCCGGCCAGCACAGATGACAGTGGACATGCTTCGATGCCCGCACAACTTCCTGGATCACACGAGGCCATGCTGCATCTGTCAGAAACATACACAGCCTTGATACCATCTTGAAACTTAGATTCTCCAGCAACCCAGAACTAAAACTATGCTAACCCTCCCTCTGTCGAGATTACTTCATTGTGACTCTGGATAACTCTTTCAATCACTGAGAGTATATACTTACACTGGGTATTGGGTATTGCTGGTTATCTCATACTGGGTATTGGGTATTTCTAGTTATTTTGCACTTGGTATTGGGTATTGCTAGTTATCTCACTCTAAGTATTGGATATTGTTGGTTATCTCACACTGGGTATTGCTAGTTATCTCACACTGAGTATTGGGTATTGCTGGTTATCTCACACTGGGTATTGGGTATTGCTGGTTATCTCATACTGGGTATTGCCAGTTATCTCATACTGGGTATTGGGTATTGCTAGTTATCTCACACTGAGAATTGGGTTTTGTTGGTTATCTCACACCGGGTATTGCTAGTTATCTCCACCTATTCAATATATGTTTACTCCCATGCATCCTGAACTGGCATTTAACATTCTGAGTATAATGTTGTTGTGACTTCGAATTTGCATCTGTTCATGTGCTGCTCAAAATCGTGTAACATTTCACAATGAACTCACAACAGCGACATACATGTCTAACAAAAAGAAAGACTTGTGTTGTTACACTATTGGGTTATTTTATTTGTCCATGAACATCTGAACACAGTTAACTGGGTAATTGATATATTTTGAGGATTTAACATAAATATGCAACCTTATATGGAGCATCAATGTTGAATCAAAGATATATACTATAAAGAAAGATGCTAATGACTCACACATAATGCAAATATTATAGTAATACATAATACATTACTTATGCCATCAGGGTGGCAAAGATGAGAAAGGGAGATAACTCAAAAAGTCACAAAGTGCAGAGCAAAAGTGAATATAACTTTGCACTGAGAATATGTGAGTTTAGTTTTACGCCTCTTTTAACAATATTCCAGCAATATCACGTCAGGGACACCAGAAATGAGTTCACACATTGTACCCATGTGGGGAATCGAACCCGGGTCTTCAGTGTGATGAGCGAACACTTTAACCACTGGGCTACCCCACCTCCCCTGTGGACTGTGAGTGGTACATGAGGACAGTATGACCAGACTGACCTTGCTTCCTCTGGCCTTTCCTCAGTATCACATAGCTGTATCTTGACGTCTGCTTGGCTTCCGTACTCTGAAACACATGGACTTGATGAGAACTACACCCTTTTACACACTGCGAGCAGTGAGTAGGGTTAGACTTTAAGATGCTTTGTAGAGTTTCAAAATTTCCTTCTGTCATGTGAGCTCGATGTGTATGAAAACATAATCATGATCATAGGCTTCTGGAACACCAAAGGGAGGTAACTCTGCACAGTGAATTGAGGCACATACTCAGCTGGGCAACACATGCCCCCATGCTGTGATGGTTCACCTACCTATTGGTGATTTTACAGCTACTAACACATGATGAAACAGCTACTTAATTGTGAAAATGATAAAGCTACTTACTTGTGAAGATGACAAGGCTGCTTAATTGTGAAAATGAGAAAGCTACTTAATTGCAAAGATGACAAGGCTACTTACTTGTGAAGATGACAAGGCTACTTGTGAAGAGGACAAAGCTACTTACTTGTGTACATGAAAGAGCTATTTACTTCTGTACATGACAAAGCTATTTACTTGTGAAGATGAAAGAGCTATTTACTTGTGTACATGACAAAGCTATTTACTTGTGTACATGACAAAGCTACTTACTTGTGTACATGACAAAGCTATTTACTTGTGTACATGACAAAGCTACTTACTTGTGAAGATGACAAGGCTACTTGTGAAGATGAAAAAGCTATTTACTTGTGTAGATGACAAAGCTATTTACTTGTGAAGATGACAAGGCTACTTACTTGTGAAGATGAAAGAGCTATTTACGTGTGTACATGACAAAGCTATTTACTTGTGTACATGACAAAGCTATTTACTTGTGTAGATGACAAAGCTATTTACTTGTGAAGATGACAAAGCTATTTACTTGTGTAGATGACAAAGCTATTTACTTGTGTAGATGACAAAGCTATTTACTTGTGTAGATGACAAAGCTATTTACTTGTGAAGATGACAAAGCTATTTACTTGTGTAGATGACAAAGCTATTTACTTGTGAAGATGAAAGAGCTATTTACTTGTGTACATGACAAAGCTATTTACTTGTGTACATGACAAAGCTACTTACTTGTGTACATGACAAAGCTATTTACTTGTGTACATGACAAAGCTACTTACTTGTGATGACATATCGAGGGGCTTGTAGGTGACACCAAACATACAGGGGCTGTTTCTCTCTGCCAGTTTCGGACATGCCTTCTCATGAGGACACTGAAACATTGAGTCATCTATTAGGTTAAGCTAGACAATCACAGACACAGTAGCTACACAATACTCTGGTTCAGGCAACCAGGGCCTAGATTTTCGAAGCTCTCTTAGCGCTAAGATAGTCGTAAGTTAATGTTAATGTATGGCACTTACTTACGACTATCTTAGCACTAAGAGAGCTTCGAAAATCTAGGCCCTGGAAGTCATGGCTATGAGCAAACATGACACAAATCTGTCAGGACTGAAATTGTGATCAGCTAATCAGCTCTTATTCAAGCATAGAGTGCTTGGTGCTATTTATTCCATCCAGCATCCCTCCATCTTCACTATTGCTCATGGGGCACGGCAGGAATACCATCCCAAAACACCTGCTCCAATAGTTAGAGGACTTGGGAAATATTCGACCTTAAAATGAAGCATGGAGCGCTCGGCAGCTCCTCACCGCCGTCATCTATCGAGTCTGTGTGAACGCTGTTGGACAGATAACTATATGGATATGTATACTTTTCAGAAAGTATACTCACTGGTGCAAAAACATGACCTTCCATTTTATCATGTTTTTCAGATATCTGAAACATAAAGATGATTCCTTAAAACACATTGTCATTGACAGAAAGGTTTCACATAAATAACAATAATGTAGACCCAGAAAATGTTGGTTCCATGTAACATGAGAATGTGTTATACTTGCATTATGCTCTTTCATGATGTTCTGTTTATTGTCCATGGTATATAGTTTGGAACTTACTTGAAGCAGATACTCTTTAGCCTCGTTGATCAACTGAAAGCCTGCCTTACTGCCATTTTCTACTAGTACCTAAAATGGGAAGATTCACATTTCTCAGAGAAACGAGTGAATAATGTTTCACCTCGCTTTTAGCAATATTCCAGCAATATTCCAGCAATATTCCAGAAATATCATCACTGCTGACAACAAAAATGAGCTTGATAAATTGCAAAATTTTGTGAATTGAACCTTTGGCAAGTCAAGCAGATCCTTTAACCAAAAAGCCACCACACTACCCCTGTCAGAGGAGAATCAATGCTCTGACTAGTGTAACAAGAACAGTCATTAATATCCCCAACACTCTCAAAGCATATGTCATGTATCAAGACTTTGAGGTCCTATAGCACACGTAAGAAATGACAACTTATTCAATAAAAATAAAACTTTTTCTGCAAGTCTCAGAATTTGATTTTTTATAAACTGATTACCATTGATATATTTAATATCAAAAGGCACTATAGGGAGATTCTCTACTTCTACAAATATATCATTAAACCAGTCTAAGTAAACTTAGGCTCAGTATTATTCGTTACACTGCTGTACTGAGTCTAACAAAACCTAGTAGAAGGTCGCATCAGTTAACCTTTTGGACTGACCAATCTGAACACAGCTTACCAAATCGCGAAAGTTAACATTTGCACATACCGTTTGAACCTTTACCTAAAAAACTCGAACGATTCCGAATGCAATTTTCCGCACAATCGCTTCAGAGTGATACACGCAATGAGTAAACAGTCACTGCAAATAGCGTTTTCGTCAATATTCAAGGATGTCATCTTGCGAAAATATAAGCAAATAGTAACCATGTCATTAGAACCCCGTAAGTGTATATACTGCAGGTCAAATATCTGGGTTTTATGTGGATTTTTGTTTGTTGATAGATCAGTGTCAGCGACCAGGAAAGAGAAAATCCAAAAACCGTTTTGCAAGTCCTGCTGAACCCTAACAAGTAGTCGTTGTCTGATTGGTTAAAACCGTTCGGCTGTCTCACGTTTGATTGGATGGTCATACGTCACTCAAAGGTTAGCTGGTTACCTTTCTACTAGGTTTTGTTAGACTCAGTATAGCAGTGTAACAAATAATACTGAGCCTAGGTTTACTTAGACTGTCATTAAACCAAACTATTGCCAAATAATTAAAAACTATCCAGCTTCACATTTTCAGATTTCAGCCTACACAAGCTAATGGAATAGCAATAGGTCAGTAAATCCTAAAACATCAAGCATTTGGTATTACCAGGAAGTCGTCTGTCATCTGCCACAGAGAGAGGAGCATCTCCAGTCTCTTCTCCTGACTGGGGAGTTCCAGCAGAGCGTAGGAGCTGGTCACAATGTTGAAGGAGTTCTGTACAAAACAAGAACATCACACATCTTAAAAGGGACCACCAAGTTAATACACCTTATTCATGCTTTTCACATCCCAAACATACACTGTGATATTTCTGTGACTGAACTTAAGATATAGAGCGGCTTTGGACCAATTTAGATGTCGATCCCATGGTATAATGACCAGGGCAGATGCTTAATTATAACCTACGAGGGCGAAAACTTTAGGGTTCATATTTTTCATGTGATTCCCTAGAGCAAAATATCACTTTGTCATGGCGACGTGACAACATGAACAATGCTATGACGTCATGTTTCTTCTGTGATGTTGTGTTCTACATGGGCGACGGCGGGTAGCCAGCCTATGTTTGAAAGTAGATTTAGTAGTAAAGTAGTAATAAACAGAATATGATATCAGTGCTCATGTCATACTATGTTTATGACACTCGTGCCTAAATATCGGTATATCCCACGCTCTCGCTCGGGAAATACCAACATTTAGGCACTCGTGTCGTAAACATAGTATGACATGGGCCCTGATATAATATCCTCTATTTAGATCAAGAGACTACAGATTGTGTAAATAAAGTGACAAAATGGACACAAAGTTTCCCAAACAGTCTGCAGTAAATATGAATGATGAAGACAGAAACACTATAAACACTACTCGTATGAAACCCAACTTTGCATAAATGTAACGCTTTCTATGCACAATAAATCTTATGTGAAAATATATCTCAGCTAATAAATGAGTGAGTGAGCGAGTATGGTTTTATGCCGCTTTTAGCAATAACCCAGCGGGGGACACCAGAAATGGGCCCACTCATTCAATAAAATAAACAACTGTTGTACAGAACCTTCCAAAAGATAATATGAGTGATAAACCTGTGTCACAATCAACAGGGGAAAATTGGAGGTTTGGCACCATGTAGGGCTAAAAGTGAGTGAGTGAACTTAGTTTTATGCCACACTCAGCAATATTCTAGCTTTATAGCGGCGGTCTGTAAATAATCGAGTCTGGACCAGACAATCCAGTGATCAACAGCATGAGTATCAATCTGCGAATTGAGAACTGATAACATATGTCAACCAAATCAGCGAGCCTGACCACTTGATCCGATTAGTTGCCTCTTACGACAAGCATGGGTTACTGAAGATCAATTCTAACCTGGACCTTCACGGGTCTGTAGGGCTAAAAACATAAACAGCACTGAATATATTGCAAAACAAAACAGTACAAATTTATTGCCAACTCAGCCCTACCTGTTTGTGAGATGGCATGAACTGACGGAAATAGACGCCGCTGATCGTCATGTCTTTCTTCTCCTCACCTCCTGTAAACAGACCAACAGAAACATACTGGACACTCACGCAATACAGAAGATGCTCGATGGCATGACACCCTTGCACAAAGCAAGTTACAATCTCTCCCTCTTCCATGTTAAGCAGTGGTTTGACATCATAAATAGTCATCTACAAGGTATAAATAATTGTATTGCATGTTATAAGTAAGTTTATCATACTTGGTCAAACATCTTTGTAATGATTATAACACATGCTAATTTTACCTAACGTGTACATCGTCACATGATCAATAACAAGGAGCCTCATTCTGAATTGGAAATCATGGCACTAACACATGTGCGCTACACGCAGTGACATAAAAGTGAGTGAGAAAGTTTTTCGCAGCTGTTAGCAATATCCCAGCAAAATCAGGGTGAGGGACACCAGAAATAGGCTTCACACATTGTACCCATGTGGGGAATTGAACCCGGGTCTTTGGCATGATGAGCGAACGCTTTAACCACTAGACTATCCACACTACGGACTGAGTTAAGTCTTGAGACTTGAACTCTGATGTTGCCAATCAGGTGCTAGTCTGGTAACAAACATTATATCTGCATATGAAACAAGCCAAAAGCCCAGACAGACATCAGGGCTGGTAACTTCAAAATGTTACCAGTCCAAAATGGATTTTACCAGACCAGACACCAAGATATGGTGAATTTACTCAGATGTATGAAACATCTAAAATTTTCACCAGACCATCGGGCTGGCTAGCTGTAAATTGAGACTGTCCGTCAAAAGTCTAGCCCATTTCGGGCAGTCAGGACGGGCCTTATTTCATACACTGATTATAATCTTCATAACGTACAGCCTGGACGTGACACTAAGTGATAAAAGTAATGGTGTTGAAGTTTTACCTTGTAACAGAAGTCTGGCCAATGTGTTCATATCCTGGGAGGAGTCGACACAATAGTATTCATAAATGTTCTGTCCCCATATTCTGTTTCCAGCCCTGAAAATACACAAAACGATATATATCTCTTATCCTTGCTTTGAAAATTGTAATTCATCTAACATTAACATCTTAAAATCTGAATACATAGCCATGCCCTGCACAACAGGAAATACAACTGAATGGTAAAACATCATGTCTGGTGATGTTTAATCCCAAATTTTACATTTCAATTGACAGAGTTTGCCATCTTGTTGTTCACTAAATTGTTTACAAGTCATGAAATACAAAATCATGTTCAAATGTGTACAATCTATAGGAATATAAAACATTATGCGACCTAAATTTCACTTTAGGAATAACACAGGTGGGTGCGGTGGGCAAGTTGGCTTTGGCGCCAGGCTAGTGATCCAGCGAGGTTAAGGTGTCGGGATCGAGCCCACCTTTGACCGGGTGTAAAAACCTTGGAGTCAACTTTGTGTGCAGACACTTTCAATGTTGTCACAACCCCTAGTGTATGGTGCACAACCCTGTGCACTTAAAATAACCCACGAATCCGTTGGTATATAACCAGATGGTGGCCACATGAATATGTGCAAACACCTAGTTGCGGGTACAGTAACGTGCAGTGAACTTGGACAAAGTACTGTGACTATGTGTCCCAGTCCACCCAGTTGTGAATGGGTACCTCGTTAGGATGAGAAAGCCACAATAACTCGATGCGCCTAGTGGCTGCAAGAGTTGTATACTCCCCAGGGAATTGAGATTGATAATAAGATGTGGCGTTGAGATTGACATCCAGTGATCGAGGAAATAGTACCAGCGCCTTGAGCATGCACTAGTTGCCTGGATATGTGTACTATATACTTATCCTATAATATAAAAAATAGGAATAACACAGGTGTTTGACAAGGCTGGGGATCATCCATGGACCCCAAGTAGTGCTGGAGTGATTGATTGAATAATCGAACAATCGATCTATCTTGCTTGTGTCAGCGATTATTGTTGAGCTCAGGAGACTAATCAATATTCATAATGAAATTCAACTTCAAATTTAACTTTAGAAAGTATGTTTCTTATTGTTATGTTTGTAAATGAAGGTATAATCAATTGAAGCAGTTTTCTGACTCATAGAACTGCAATGTAAACAACATACTCATGTGTATGTCTCAACAGGAAGTCTCCCCGATCGTCTTGATCGTGGTATTAATCGACGCCTGTTTAGTTTGCACAATGTAATAATTGTGTCCTGTTATTGCCCACATGGGCTTAGTGGTGGCTATAAGCTACAATCTATTAATAATAATGTCCACTTGTATGGCGCCGTTTCGTTTCCACACACTAGTGTATGCTCATGGCGCCCCGTGTGTACAGCTAAAAAACAACTGCAGCAATTGTACAAGTCATTCGTAATATTTCCTGAAAAGATGGGTCTTCAATGAAGATTTGAATAAGTCAAGAGATTTTGCTGTTTTGCTGGTTATGGGAAGACTGTTCCACAGTGAAGGAGCAGCATAGCTGAATGATCTGTGACCGTAGTTCTTGAGATTGACAGGGGGTGTTGTTAGGAGGAACTGTTGGTGTGATCTCAGCTGTTGTGGCGGTGTGTACACTGAGATGAGTTCAGAGAGGTACTGAGGCGCTAGGTCATGTAGACATTGGAACACAATGGTCAAGATCTTGAATTCGATTCTGGCTTGGATGGGCAACCAGTGAAGAGACTTTAGGACAGGGGTTATGTGAGATCTTTTAGATGTTAAGGATACAATGCGGGCTGCAACGTTTTGGATTTTCTGGAGTTTTGTCAAGTGTGCAGAGCTGAGTCCAAACAGAATGCTGTTTGAATAGTCCAGTCTAGATAGAACGAGGGACCTGACAAGAGTAAGGGCTGCATCTGTTGTTAAATTATGAGAATGTTACTGATAGCTCTCAGGTGGAAGAAGCAGATTCTTGAAAGATGGTTGATCTGAGCATCAAGTGATAGGTCCTGGTCTATGAACACTCCAAGATCTTTTATTATTGATCGACTACCAACACTGATCGACATATTGAGAGCGATAATCAAAAGTGACCCCGAGACCCACATTAGGGCAAGAGATGAATGTCTAAATGAAGCTTCATAATGATCATACTCAGCTTGAAATGTTAAACATAATATACAACTCAATAACACAAATGTCAATGTACATTGCACATAGAAATGTTAGTAATTCACTGCAGCATACTGTTGCTATGTCAACCAGGCCCTTACAGAATGCAGTGGCATCATCCAACAGCTATAAACAGTGGAGTTGGGGGACAACTAACATGATAAACCAAGATAAACGTTTACCTTTAAGAAATAAAGTGCAAATATACAAGGCATCTTCAATCCAACCGACAAGATTATGAAAATTCAACACAAAACAATAGGATCACAATAACATAACATGAATTCTGGGGTTAAAATGTATTGACATGTGACTTCTTTTCAACCAATCAGATTGTGGCTGATATTTACACCAGACAGTACCTACCATACTGACGAAGCTAGGCCAGAACCAAAGTCAAACATGGAAGTTGGGATGTACTCAGGTTCTCTCCGAGATATCTGATGACAGAAAAGGTAAGTATTTAAAGGCTGCTCATTAAAACACAGATCATTTTGTTGTTTAATGCTGCATTTGACAGTATTCCAGTTACATGATGAGTGAGTGAGTTTAGTTTACCAATATCCAGCAATATCACAGGGGGGACACCAGCAATGGGCTTCACACCTTGTACTAATGCGGGGTCTTTGGCGTGAGCAAACACTTGAACCACCAGGCTACTTGACCATAATCTGCGGCTATGATCCAATATTTCTGGTACACATAAGGGACATAACTCTGCTGTGCCAGGGGACGAGTGGGCAACCTGTGCTCCTTATACAAACTATGCTATGATATGCTTATGTCACTGTAACTGTGAGATCAATATACCACTATTCCTAAGAATGAAGAGTCAGGATCTTGGATCCCAAAGACAGTGGTATACAGTCGAACCCTGTTTATCCAGACATTTTAGTTACACTCAGAAATCGTCCGATACCAAGGCATCCGGTTAACTGGATCAAACAAGCAAAACGTATTGACGATGTATATTGAAAATTTATTCACACAGTGCTATTGCGTTTAGCAGGCTGACTTGCCATTATGCCTAATAACTGTCTACAGAAATGTCACGAGACGTTATATACAATACAATTTACAATGTAGTTAATCCTAATCCTAATTAACATGTGTTTTCGTTACTGATGAGATGTTCTCACACCTGCAAATCCTAATTAACAACTGAAGTGACACGCGTCCCTAGTGTTTCGATGGGTAATTAATCAAATCACATCAAACATCTGCCGAAGTAAAAAGTAAAAAGTACTGACTTGACGCACAGATCTTTCCGCCTGGATAGCAGGATCTTTTTTAAATGGAAATCAATGGGAATGGTTTGAAATTCTCCGTCCGTGTTCGGAAGCTCGGGGTCTGGCTAAGCAAGTACAATTACTGAAGGTAAGTTTCGTTTCACCTAAAAATTGTCCGGAAGGCGGGATTTCCGGATATACAGGGTCCGAGTAAACGGGGCTCGACTGTATTGAGGATTCAATGCATATCATTACACAAATCTGATGGTTCTCTGCATACCTCATTAAAACACTTCATCATGACGCTGTAGTTGTGTGCCATCCGACTGTACAGATACGTCATAGACGTAGGGGCATCGAATCTGGAACACAGATGTACAGTGTGAACAATCTACTGTACAGCATGTCTACCAGCTGGTCCACATATCATGTGCGCTAGATGTAGTTTCATCAAAACAAAATGGCATTCAATACTTATATCACAAGTTTCATAGAAGGATGGTTGATAAAGACTGAAAACAATGTAGACTGTAAATTTAATCATGTTAATACAATGGATAGGAAAGGGTGTGATAATTAGCATTGGAATATAAGGAAAGGGTGTGATAATTAGCATTTGGTGACCTTAAAATTCAAAGTCATTTAAAAACACTAAATCTCAACAGAAACATGCAGACTTCATATATACAGAATACAGGTTTGTATAATTAACCCAACACAATATAAATAGTAGACAAAGGTTGAGTTCAAACAAGTTTGTGACCTAAAATTCAAAGTCCTAAACAGATTCATTTCATTTGCTGACCCAAATTCTACAAAGCTGTTAATTCAAATAAAAATAAGAGGTATCGTCAGTGGGACTACATCAAAACACAGGTTTACATCACCTCAACACAGGAACATAGTCTCTTGTTTGACTGCCAGTGGATCAGTGTTCTCATACTGCTTCTGTTCTTCGGGGGTCATCGTGGAGGTGTCGACTTTATCTGGGAGAAGAAAAATAATTTGACATAATGCAAATCAAACTGCATCTACTCCATCTATATATCTTGGGTTTGGATCCCATTTCTGATCTTTGGTTGTGAACGTTGGTATCACAAATGGTCGGATTACTAGTGAACATCTTGGAATCCCAACACTTCAGGCCTTCTTCACATAAGAATATGATACATAATTCTTATTAAATTCAGTGTTAAGAACAATATTTGTAAAAAAAAAATAATTTCTGACAGCATATATAAGAGGTTTCAGGAAACTATACTGTTCATCTTTTGATAGTGATAATCAGTAATGTCATATGGATTTAAATATACACATGAGCATTAATTAAGCAACACGTTAATTAATACAAATACAATCACAACAATTTTTATTATTATTATTTTATAACTAATTGTTCTGCGCTCAATACTGATGTTCGTACTGACCCTTTTCCTTAATGTTGTTTTGTATTTCCTGGGCCAGTCGAGTGAGAGTGTCTTGCTCTGTCGGGGGATGTCGGGAGTGCAGGTAATTGTTCAGCTTTTCACTTCGTTTGTTCAGGTTCTGTACAGGAAAGGCTGATAACAAACAGTGAAAAGTTTGTAACACAAATAATATGACAAAACTGACATTCACTAACAATCTCATTAATATCAAATCTTTTAGTCTGCTTTGCAACATGTTGTAAGAAATTATTAAATTTGAGCAATAAGTCTTTGCCGGGACGTAACAAAGTAAAACGTTTGATTTTAATGATATATTTTATCCAAAACAAGTTTCCCTTTTGAGAATTTTTTTTATAACAGTAAAGCGATGGAATAAACAAAAATATGCTTTCTTACGATAATATGGTAACTAAAAAATGATAGCCATTTATCAACTTTATTCATCCAAAATTTCAAACGAAATATTTAATGTCTCGATATGTAGTATTTGCACAACAAATGTACAAATAAAACCTGTGGCATAAGATAAGTAAAAGTCCCAAGATAGTGGAAGAAACTATACCGAATTTCAAGAAAAATATTTTTGCAAAAATGATTTAAGTTCAAGGATCACACATATTTCCTTCTCAGCAGGAATCCTATATTTCAACATGAGTTAGTCATCAGGTTGTTTGTTTCTTACTGTGTAACTTACTGTCAATAACTTTCTTGATGGTGCTGATCAGTTTCTCTGGCATCTTTACTGGTCTCAAGGTCATTATCCCAGGGTGAGTTTTGAAACTGACACCACCTTTCGTCAAGGGTTTAGCTACATCTGGATCCACACAACACTCTCCAGGTTTGATGTGCCGTGCTTGTTTCACTTTTGAAGAATAGGTCTGAAAAAAGTTTGGTTGGTTACTCGAGCTAAGTACTGTTGCCAATTACTTTAGGGCTCAAACAAAATGTTTTCTGATCAAAACTAACTATATATTTACAGATCAGATACAGGCGTATACCAAGTATTCATAAATGTTGTATTTTGGCATATGTGGAACAAACTATTCTACACCGATAAAATATCCATAAATAAATGATGTTCTAAGCCCTGCTACCAGCTTTTACATGTTTCATGAGTGAGTGAGTGACTGAGGTTTTATGCAGTATTGCAATATTCCAGCCATATCACAGTGGGGACACAAGAATGGGCTTCACACATTTTACTCATATTGGGAATTAAACCCTCGTTTTTGGCGTGACAGGCGAATGCTTTAACAACTAGACTACCCCATTACTCTGATTTGTAATGCACACGACTGAGGCATATATGAAGCCTCAAAATGTAGACCTATGACTTGAATGAAATCGATAATTGAAACTTCAAGTCGAACAGCTTCCAAACAGATAACACTTGCCATATATGGAATGTAAACGATTACTCCATACATCGAAAATTGTCGCACACAGTTTTGTCCGTGTTTGCTGAACTGGTTTCAATCACATGTTGTGTGTAGGATATTCATAAAGAGTGTTCCAAGGGACATAACTCTATGGGGTTCGCTTGAAATAATGTTTGCCCAATAGAGGGCACACGAGTCGATTTAATGCAATGTTATATTGATTCATTTGAAATTTTAAATTTAATATCTAAATACATGTACATAATTTTTTGGGGAATATATTATATGGTAGCTTCCCTGAGGGCTGGTAGTCAGTATTATTGAGAGAAATGCATTATGGCCCACTCAATATCTCATTATTAGTAGCATTTGAATTGATTACCCCCATTGATTCAACTATTAAATCAGCTGTTGCTTTCAGCTGTCATGCTTAAATTACTGTACTTTATTAGGCACACCTCATTTTTACATTCCATTTAGTGCTACACTACATCAAACTAACATTGCCAGCTGTATAATTAGCCAACATGTACTTTACCATGGGACCATGGGCGCTATCACAAAAATTAAGTGCTTGTTGGTTGACTTTGTCGTCAGCAGATTGTTTATCATGCACATGTGCAGCATCCACTTTTGCTTCAAAAATCAAAACCTAATATATAAGTGTATGGAGTGTAAGCAATTATATTTGATTATATTGGATTAAAGGGGATGGCTTTCCAAAACCCTACATCACAAGTAACCCACTATAATGTAAAGGGGTTTGATTGGCAAGTGTTGCCAACCCTAAGGATTGTGAAGGCGGAATGGGGGTCTTAACCATAATGAATGTAATTAGATGTAAAGGGATACATGCTCCGTCAGGAGGAAGATCATGGACTATCTGACTGACTGACTGAGTTTGGTTTTACGCCGCTTTTAGCAATATTCCAGCAACATCACGGTGGGGGACACCAGAAATGGGCTTCACACATTGTACCCATGTGGGGATTCGAACCCGGGTCTTCGGCGTGACGAGCCAACGCTTTAACCATTAGGCTACCCCACCGCCCCTCATGGACTATCATTTTATATGGCTAAATCGAGTTGGGTGTAACCTACACTAACCCTATGGATCATAGATGCAAGCAATATATGTGAAGTATGTCAGCAGCCTGAGCCAATTAGTCTGTCTCACAGTCAATGAACCACATTATTTTCCCTTCTGCCTAGCCCTTTCTGCAATGTTAAAGGCCTAAATGAAGCAAGTCTAGATTCCCTCGGGCTCAGGTTCTGAATCTCCATTCTCATTGGGGCTCCTTTTCCTTTTAAAAGGAATTGTTCGTTTCTCTCAAAATTATTTATATCCAGAAATTTAGCGTTACCCTACGAGCCAATCTGCGATATAGTAAGCAGGTAAGCTGCATCGTAACTAGTAATTCCAACACACATTCAATGACAAAATTTCTGCCAATGTTAAATGCGATTCTTTCAAAAGCACAACATAAAACCAGTTGATTTTCAATGTGTCGAGTCTATACTGAAACAAAGAGACGACATGTACCCTTAAATATGATTTTGCTGATTCGCTTGTCAGTAATGAAGGCACACGACACAAGCAGCATGCTTGTGTTTTCATTCTCATGGACGCGGCCATTTTGTAGGCTCGCACCACTTTCCAGAGATTCGTCTATTGGTCATTTAACGGCACCTGCTAAGGGCAGGTAACTCCCATCGTCTGCTTAACCAATGATGAAAACGAGTTGGATCACCTCATGTGTGTGGCCTAACCATGTAAACATCAGCTGTTAATCAGTCGGTAGTGTTGTAGATATCAGTAGTCCGAGACATCTGGACGATATAGACATCAAGATGAGATCCGTTACGTGCACGGCGCCTGTCAACATAGCTGTCATCAAGTATTGTAAGTCAGATTAACTTTATGTATACAGCTGACACTGACTGACTGAACTTAACTAACTTCCCAACTCCATACATCTGGACGATATAGACATCAAGATGAGATCCGTTACGTGCACGGCGCCTGTCAACATAGCTGTCATCAAGTATTGTAAGTCAGATTAACTTTATGTATACAGCTGACACTGACTGACTGAACTTAACTAACTTCCCAACTCCATACATGTATATTTTAGATCCCGGGTATTTCCAAACGGCGACACAGCCAATGTAATTATATATTTTTCAGTGTTTCAACAATTGGTAGTGGTTATTATTCTGTCTATCACTCAGGATTATGGGGGTGAAAACATGTACTTGTTGTCTTGGAGTCATTATACTGTTTCTGAGTGGCATATGTATGTTACTGCTGGAGTTATGCTATGAAAATAGAAAAAGAAGATTTTTTTCTTTCGTAGAAGTGGCCAGTATGTTTGGATGGCCAGGCAAAGGTGAGAGCCTGTACCAATGTTAACATGCAATGCAATCACATCCCTGCTGTTAACATAGCAAGTGAATAAATTCAACCTACTGTCATAGCAGGTTGTTGTATTAGTTATCAGGTTTCAGCTGTGTAAGTGGACAACCAAAAGCATACTGACTAAGACTGACCAGAAATGGGCTTCACACATTGTACCCATGTAGGGATTCAAACCCGGGTCTTCGGCGTGATGAGCCAACGCTTTAACCACTAGGCTACCCCACCGCCCCTACTGACTAAGAAGTTGTACCCCCAAAACTCTCCATACACACTGTGACATTTTAATTTCATGAACAAAGAATAACTGGTATAATACATAAATATTGTACAAACACAAAACAATTTACAACCAAATGAGTTAAAGCAAACAGGAAAACACAAGGAAGGTGGTTAGTAGAATTGTTTTGAGAGACAAGTGCGACTGACGGTGATGCTGGGAGAGGTGATGTTTTGACATTTAATGTGATGTATCCAGCATCTGTTGACATCATAGATGGTGTTGATAAACAGATGCATATGGTATCTCTATGACTGGCAAATGCTGGACTATGAACATTGTACAAGCAGCCATGTACACATATGCATGTGTCTCTGTAAGTGCAGTTATCTTGAACGCAATGTTTAAACCCATTTCACCTCCCTTTACTCTGGGCATAACTAACAAAGACTATGAAGGAATACCAAGGTATTTAAATCATAATGTGTATGTAGCAATTTTACAGTAAGACTTTTTCTCACACAAATTAGTCTGTTTCAAGCTAAATATATAATTTCCACTGTGCCTAAGTCAAATTTCATTTCAAAGTATTTTCATCTACTATGGTTTTAGTTTTTAGTATTTTTGTAAGTTTTGACTGTTTGGCTCAAATTTAATAATTGCCAGTAGCCAGAGAGATAAATCCAACTGCGGTACCATGCTGGTACCAGATCAGTAATATTGTATGCTTATGTACAAGTTATAGATTTGTATCTGTGATACTCTGTTTTTTACTGTCCTTTTTTTTTTGACAGCATTTCTACTATTATCCACATGTATGAAGTGGATGTACTCAAATTGAATTCTAACCATAAGCCATGGTTATTATCATGAAAGATTGTATAGTTGTTATCAATATTGTAATGGAAAAGGATAATTAAATGAGGGATGTAGTAAACATTATAGAACATATTAAATATTGAAAACTAATTACTGATGTATTTCCTACTTTTCAGGGGGTAAACGAGATGAAACTCTCATTCTACCAATCAACTCTTCCCTCAGTGTCACACTGGGACAAAATGAGGTCAGTTACCAGCTTGTAGTCATTTCATATTGCTTAATAAGTTAATAATGTGAAATTTATTATCACTGTAGTTTCCTGGAACTAGCTGTGATATAGGAGTGAAAACCTGAAGCCTTGATAAATTTAATGTGCATGTTATGTTTCCTACCAGGCAGAATTCAATACATACATTGTCATAAAACTAAATCAGACTGTAAAAGATAACATTTGGTCAAGGAAAAACAAAATACTGGTGTCATTTATGCTGTCATTTCATTTTCTTTGTCCATTTTGTAATGATTAAGTACCACCCCTCAGTAAGCGATCCCATCCTTAGAAAAGTAAATGATGAATGAGAAGTTTAATATTTTTTCAAATACTGATACTGATATATTTGATAGATTACATCCCCTTCATTTTCAAGACAAAATTAAAGTAGGAAATAGTTATAACTTCAACATCTCTAAATATAGTATACTACATAAATGGGATTGCTGGGTTGGGGGTTTACCAACATTCAAAACATAGTTGTGAATATTAGTTTCAGCATATTTCATATTTTTCTTCTCTTCAGCTGAGAGCCAAAACAACTGTTGCTACAAGTAAATCCTTCAAAGAAGACAAGATATGGTTAAATGGAAAGTATGTCATGATTTTATACTATGAACATGATGTATAGATTGTTTTACAAGTTAAATGGTAACATATATTTTCAATAACTGAAACTCAACACATACAATATAGAACTGCAGTTTGTATGATATTTTCAACAAATTTAAGGGGCGGTGAGGCAGTCTAGTGGTTAAAGCATTCGCTTATTATGCCAAAGGCATGGGTTTGATTCCCCACGTGGGTACAAATGTCTGAAGCCCATTTCTGGTGTTCCCTGCCATGATATTGTCAGAATATTGCTAAAAGCGGCATTAAACCACACTTACTCACTCACTCACTCACTCACTTCACGGAAATTTCAGAGGTCAAAGTGAAGGTAATAAGCTAACAGATAAGTGCATCATAGTACACTGAGTAGATACACTGATAGTTCATGAAGCTTGTGAATATGGTAACACTATTATATGTTAATAATGATTAAATTTACACTAGTTCAAATACTGACCACACTTTAAATCAAATACTCCTAATCTTTGCTCATTAAGATGATTAAGACAACAATTTTGTGCATAATGAGTTGTCTTTGTATTAAATAATCTACAGATTTAATAATGGTCTCCAACAATGGTGAGTGAGTGAGTGGGGTTTTATGTTGTGTTTAGCAATATTCCATGAGTATAACAGCCGGAGACACCAAAAATGGGCTTCAAACTTTGTACCTATGTTAGGAATAGAACACAGGTCTTTGGCATTGCAAGTGAACACTCGAACTACATGACCACCACATGTCCCTCTCTGAGTAAGAGTGGCAAGGAGTGGTATATGGCTTACCTCCTATCTCATGTGTCTGTCAAATCTGAGAGGTGACAGTGAGAAATATTTCTTGCTTTCCAGAGAACAGTCTGTTGAGTCTCCAAGAATACAGAATGTTTTGAAAGAAAGTAAGTACTTATAAAACCTGCTCTTTTTGTATCTTTTATAGTCTAGGATCCACTGTTCTGTACTTTTTAAGATGTGTTACAAAAAATAAATTGTTCTTTAGAAAACATTAGGTCATTCCTTAGATATGACAAAAACAACCGATTATCTTATTGGAATGACACAGATATAGCATGGAAAATAGGTTGTGACACAACAGGTAATTTATTTAGTGAAAAACAAGTCTTTAGATAGAACAAGCAACACTCATCATGTCGACCTAATGCATCATTTAGAAACTTACTAAATGAAACAACACTTATTCCATATATAACGCCTGGAAGAAAGTGATGTATGTTTAAGCATTATCTGTACACTATTGGTTATGAATATCAAAACATTTTTTTGCTAAATAGCAATGGATGTTAAATAACCAAACATGAAGCTGATAACGAGTTTTGGTTTTTCTAAGTTCGTCACCGAACTCGGAAGCGGTCAACTGGGGACGTACGTGATGAAACATTAAACATGAAGGTTCACATCTGTTCGGAGAATAATTTCCCCACAGCAGCAGGTCTTGCTTCATCAGCTGCTGGATATGCCTGTCTAGGTAAATATATTATGCAATATTTGTTAAAAACAGCATTGCTCATTTTTGATTTTGTTGTTGGTTTAATGGTGTGCATTAGTGGCTAAGTGGGCAAGGGTGTGACATGTTGTGCTTTGTAGCAGTAACAGGATCCTCTTGTAGGTTCAGGTCTGAAGTTTGTGACAGTTTTGATACTTGGTCTGTCACCTCCTATCACCTGGGTTTTACCCAAAGGCAAAATATCTAGGACAGCACCACGGCAAAATTCTGCATTAAGATGAACAATGTCATGTGACAGAGATATTGTGCAAAATGGGTTTACAACCACTCTCTCTCTTTTGTTTAAAAAGATGACACTGGAGGTATTGTGTGTGTGAGTGAGGGTGTGAGTGAGTTAATTTTTACGCCGCACGCAGCAATATCGTGGCGGTCTGTAAATAATCGAGTCTGGACCAGACAATCCAGTGATCAACAGCATGAACCGATGACATGTGTCGACCAAGCCAGCGAGACTGACCACCTGATCCCGGGTAGTCACCTCTTATGACAAGCATAGATTACTGAAAACCAATTCTAGCCCAGATTTTCACAGGGTCGTAGGCATTGTGTATTTATTATCGCTTGATTGGCTGGACATGTGACCTTTATATCATTCCTGTCTTATTTGTTTTACAGTCTATTCACTGGCCAAGTTGTTTGGTGTGAAAGGAGAGATTTCTGAAGTTGCAAGGTAACTAGTAATTGCTGTCACAGCTTCAATTTCTCATGGTCCTGAGATGGTTTTAAATTTTTTATCTATCCCCATAATTGTATGAAAAAATACTTAGGGTTTTGTTCGTGCATATTAAAAAACACAAACCTATTTATTCCCTTGACATCATACATGTTCGGCAAAATAATGTGTTTTGAATCCCTCAATACTGGTTGCCCAGTTGTCTGAATTCTCAGTGCAGAGTTGCCTCCCTTGGTGTGTTATAACTGAAACAGCAGGTTGAAGCAGTGAAACCAAAGTCACTCTGCATCTGGAGTTTGCATCAGGAACAGACACTAGTCTGTCCGTACCAAGGCTGTTGAAGACACTGAGGACTGCACAGTAGTGGTGGTCCGATTAATTGAAATAATCGAAGATTGGTCGTAGTGACTAAACGACCAAGCAATCGATCATAATTTCTCATAATCGAACACAAACAATTCTGGAACACTTGTTTTCATTAACAATATTTTTCACATGGTTGGTTTTGTCTGTTACATTTCGTAAGCACTACAAGCTCGTTTCAAGTCATGATTGAATTTATCTTAAAGATTCCAAGAAAATTATGTTCCTAACATACTAGTCATCCTTTAAAGATGTGAAATTTTGCCAAAAAACCCCAGAAGAACTACATTTTGTTCCCTTATTTTAATGTGCATTAACAAATTTCATAAATGACGCTAACCAATTATTTTCGATGATTGATCGGTAGTAATGAACCAATCATCAATTATGAGATTTTAACCAATTCCCAACACTACTGCACAGGCAATCTATAGTTCTTACATAATCCTCTTGACAAAATGTAGCTGTGTCTAGCTTTATGACTATCAGTTTAGCATACAACTGCTCATTCACATATACATATCCTTGCAGACAAGGGTCGGGCAGCGCCTGTCGGAGTGTGTATGGTGGCTTCGTGTTGTGGGACATGGGGAAGGATGAGAGCGGGAAGGACTCACTTGCCAAACAAGTTGCTCCTGCCGATCACTGGCCACAACTCCGGATTCTCATTCTGGTGGTGAGATAAACTCAGTGTGTTGCTTAAATATTGCTGTGGTGTTGCGGAAGTGTTGTAGAGGTATAGTACTGAGCTATTGATGAGACAATGCTAATGTGTCACTGAAGTATTGGTGTGATACAGGGGTGGAAATAACTTTAAAATTGCTAGTGTATTCTGGTACAGTGGCACATGTAAATTCACTTGCCCTGATAATTTTTCCACTATACCGGCCGTTTTCTTGTTGATTTTTTAAATAAACAAAATAATTAATATTGGAAAGTCAACTGGACACCGGTACAGTAGGATATACAAATTTGCTTGCCCGACAGAAAAAAACACTGGACTCGGGCGTCGGGCAATGGGTTATTTCCACCCCTGTCATATTGCTGAGATATTGATTTGGTATTGCTTCTGAGGTGCTGCTGAGATGTACCTGCAGTATTGGCCTCTGGTGGTCAGATAGTTACCAACATGATTGATGGCTGAAATAATACTATTGTGATACTGCTAACATATTGTTGCTATGATGTGACGAAGACAGTATGGTCATCATTTAAGGTAAATGTTTTGAATTACATGTGGAACACTTATATTCAGTTAGCATAGGGGTGAGGAGTAGCCTAGTGGGTAAAGCATAAACTCATCACACTGAAGGCCCGGGTTCAATTCCCCACATGGGTACAATATGTGAAGCCTTTTTCTGGTGTCCCCTGCCGTGATATTGCTGGAAGATTGCTAAAACATCTTAAAACCACCCCCCCACACACTCACTCACCTATACCCATCAACTCACTCATGACTATACTCCTCATGACCAACTCACTCATGACCGAACTCACTCACTCACTCACTCATGACCAAACTCACTCACTCATGACCGAACTCACTCACTCATGACCAAACTCACTCACTCATGACCGAATTCACACTCATGACCGAATTCACTCACTCACGACCACACAATAAAGAACACTACACTTGCAGGTGAGTGACCAGAAGAAACACACCAGTAGCACAGAGGGGATGCAGACCAGTGTGAAGACAAGTGAGCTGCTGCAGAAGAGGGTGGACGTTGTGCCACAGAGGGTAGAAGACATGGTGGACGCCATTGACAACAAAGACTTCCAGAAGTTTGCAGAAATTACAATGAAGGTGACCATGTCCTCATTGTACCCACATACAAGGAATATATTAAAACCAAAATATTTATGACAACTATTAATGACAAGCAGGTTTTTATTTAACGTTTTTAAACTTCGAAAGACGTTTTATGTTGGGTGAATAAAACATACAATTTCAAATGGGAAAGAAGTTTTTTGATGGGTAAATATTTAAGACAACCATTAATGACAAGCAGGTTTTTATTTAACAACTTGGAAAGAAGTTTTATGATGGGTGAATAATTTGTTTCCTTTGTTTAGCAGTTAGTGTGTAAGTTTATCTTTTATCTTATTTGCCTTCAACTTCAATCCATGAATCATTGATCACAATATCAAACAGTGGGTTTCTAAGACCAGCTTGATTACTTACAGGCCAGTATAATGCAAGTGTTGTGTGTAAAACATGTGTGTGTTGTTTTGAAGGAGAGTAACCAGTTCCATGCTGTATGTCTGGACACGTACCCACCGATCTCCTACATGACCGACACCTCCAGACAGATTGTGAGACTGGTCCATGCCTTCAACAAACAGTGCACAAACACAAAGGTATGGGGAGACGTCTGCCATTATACTTTGTCCTTATCTCACTGATTGGCCTGTTTCTGTCATGTGAAGTTGTCTGGCCGATGTGGGCATATATTGTAACTAGGGGTGACTATTTTGGGGGGAAACAATATCGATAATCTATTGTGACCAACTATTGCAATACTATTGCAATAGTGTTTGGTTTTTCTTCTTGAATTGTCTCCTTTGAAGTCATTTCCCAAATGAATGTATAGTTTATATGCAATAGAAACAAGCTGAAGTAGTTTCAGCCTCTTTTAATAACTGACAAGAAATTTGCAACACAGATCAAGTTTGTTTAAGAGGTAACAGGGGAGGATAACTGTAAATCAAAGTTAACAAATTTGGTACTTCCTGTATTTTGCGCTGCGCATTTTTCAACGGAAGTCAATTACTAAACTATCGATTGTCAAACATACTATTAATGTATCGATAGTGTTTCGCTTCTACCATCGATTAATTGCTATCGGAGATTCAACAATTGCAATCCATTGATAGTTCGATTTATCATTACAGCCCAAATTGTAACATCAAAAACTTTAAAGCCCTAGAGCTCACCACTTCCGAAAATCTGTAGTTGCACTTGATGTATTATATTTAGGTCGTATGAGGAAAAGGTCGATCTGGTACCCTAGTGGTTAAAGCATTTGTTCGCAATGTCAAAGACCTAGGTTCCATTCCCAATATGGGTACAATGTGCGAAGCCCATTTCTCATGTCCCCGCAGTGATATTACTGGAATATTGCTTAAGGCAGATAAAACCAAACTCACTCACTCACGTATAAGGACGATCCGAGAAAAGGGTTTCCACCACAAGTTCTTCAAAATCATTCTTTATGAATAAATTGCAAGTAATTCCATGATGTTTGTGTTTCCATGAACTGAAAAAATTCAGGCCAAGCCTCTTAACAGACTGTTGTTTGCTGATTTCTTAAAATTATTAATTCTCAAGTAACTCTTTGACCATCATCAACATGACCTCACAATATACCATTTAGACTAGGGACAGTTGGATGGCCTAGTGGTAAAAGTGTTTGCTCGTCATGCCCAAGGACTGGGTTTGATTCCCTACTTGGCTACAATGTGTGAAGCCCATTTCTGGTGTCCCCAGCTGTGATATTGCTGGAAATATTGCTAAAGGCGGCATAAAACTAAATTCACTCACTCACTTACCATCATCAACACTTCGCAGATGTATATGTCAGGGTAGAGACTGCGATCTGGTAGAATCAGAGATTCTACCAGTAGAGATTGCGATCGGAGTCTCTACCAGTAGAGACTCGATTGGAGTCTCTACTGGTAGAATCTCCGATCCTACTAGTAGAGATCGAATCGTAGTCTCTACTGGTTGAATCGGAGATTCTACCAGTACATTTTCCAATTCAACTGGTAGAAACTCCGATCCTACTAGTAGAGGCTGCAATCGTCTTCAACTGATAGAAACTCCGAGTGATCTGTGGGTAAACAACAAAGACACTTTTTCTGAACAGTACTATGCATTTTATTCAGATATAACACTAGACTGTTTCCACTTCTACAGATATATTAAGGACTAAAAATACAAATGTGACTTGAGAGATCATATTACAATATATACATATATTACAAAACTGATTACAAGCAAGATCAATTGCATAATCAGTGTTTGCCCTAGGCATAAAAATTTAAGAGTCATCATGACTCCCTGGTGTCATGAGAGGGAGTCATGGACATGTTTTTGGGAGTCAACTTCTTTCATCAAGAGATCAACTGTTATTGTTTAATAACAACAGGTCCAAGTAAGGCAGGTCAGGTATTTAATCAGCACTGAGCAGTTAACTGGCAAACATTAAACTTAGTAGTTTTAAACAACAATAAATTACAATATGTACTCAAACTTAAACTAAAGTAAAGTTATCTGAACTAACAGCCCAGGTCGAGCATTGCCTCAACAATGACGCGAGCTTTTCATTTCCCCACCTCTTTGGAAAGCAGTGTTTCTATAACAATTACTAATCATAAGTTTTGAAATACATCTGAATGAACTTCCTACTTTTAACTGAGACTTTGATAACAAACATTTAACACCTCACTGTAAACAATATCAAAATAAAAAATAAAAATGGTTTGTAACACTGTATTTACATCATGAGACCAAGCTGCCCAAGTTGGACTCCACTCAAAAACAAAAACAAAATACCTTACTCCAAAACAGACTTAACAAATAAAGTTAACAAGATAACAATAAATAAGTTCAATTATAACTGGCAAATAATAGGAAAACATTATCCCCACTTATTATACTTGCTTGCATAAGCTTGCACTTGCTTGCATAGGTTATTCCATATAATCGTAGTCTCTACCAGTAGAGACTACGATTGCAATCTCTACTAGTAGAATCTCTGATTCTACCAGATCGCAGTCTCTACCCTGACATATACACTATGTTAAAACTGTGAATACATGCTGGAGCAGATGTGTAAGTCCCTTTCTCCAAAACCTTGAACAGTCAAATCCTGTTGTCCCTACCTCAGGGCGATGGAGATATAGTTTGCTTTATCTGTTGAAAATGCAGGATGTTTTATGTTTTAGTTTATATATTTAATCATTCTTTTTATAAGTAAGGTTTAATTATTTTTGGTTTGTAGGTTGCGTACACATTTGATGCTGGACCAAATGCCTGTTTGTATTTATTGGAAGAGGATGTGGCAAGAGTTGTGTCCCTTATTAAATACTACTTTCCTACAAGTGATAACAATACTGACCTTGAAGTTCGGGGACTGAGTGTGGAGTCATCATCTGTAGAAGTAAGCTGACAAATAGTTATATTTTTCTGTACAATGTAACATTACCCATATAGTGTCTCGCTGTAATATTTATTTAAATTTGACACTATGATTGCACAGTTTTTCAGAATGTTTAGACTTGGATCAGTTGGTAATTCAAGCAAGTATGAGTCTACATGTTTGTTTAGCTGGTATTTGAATTTTAGTGATGTAAATCATTCTAGCGTAAGAGGCGATTAACAGTATTGGGTGGTCAGGCAATCATAATCATGTCATGGCATCATAATGACGTTGATCGATACATAGCTTTACATTGCTGAGTGTGAAAATAACAACATACAAACAAATCATTCTTGAATTTCATATTCAGATGTGCACTGATAATGCTTCAGTTTTAGACGTGCACTGACTGCCACGTATTGAATTAGACTGGAGCTCAGTGTCAGACTGTAAATGTTTGGTTCATTATGTGTATATATGCATTTCATTGATGAATGGTACAGCCTGAAGTTTGTTCATCTTTTCAGGAACACATTAATAATTTTGACATGCCCCAGACTCCAGATGCAATCAAGTATATCATTCATACTCAGGTACGTCCAGATGCAGTGAAGTATGTAATTCATACCGAGGTACCAGGTAGTTCAGTATACATTCATACTCAGTGAGATGCAGTGAAGTATGTAATTCATAGCGAGGTACCAGGTAGTTCAGTACATACCGTACCCATGAAGATCCGGGTTAGAATTGATCTTCAGTAACCCATGCTTGTCATAAGAGGCGACTTACGAGATCAGGTGGTCAGGCTCGCTGACTTGGTTGACACATGCCATGGTATCCGAACTGCGTAAAATGATGCTCATGATAACTTCTTTGAGTGGCATTTTAGGAGTTGGGAAGTACAATATGGAACAAACTTTATGGATAACAACTATTTTTATTTGTGAGTGCGACGTTTCGATACAGATTTTTGTACCGTTTTCAAGCTGGAATGGAACATGAAGAAGGGGGATGTATATATATGTACTGAATGTAACAATGTAACAAAGAAAACAACATAATTAACATAATGAAGCCAGTGAGTTAGACTGTGCATGTGACTATGACTGATGTGACTGTGATTATGACTGTTGTGGCTCTGACTTTGACTGTTGTGACTGATTATGACTGTTGTGGCTCTGACTTTGACTGTTGTGACTGTGATTATGACTGTGCATGTGACTCTGACTTTGACTGTTGTGACTGTGATTATGACTGTTGTGGCTCTGACTTTGACTGTTGTGACTGTGATTATGACTGTGCATGTGACTATGACTGTTGTGACTGTGATTATGACTGTTGTGGCTCTGACTTTGACTGTTGTGACTGTGATTATGACTGTGCATGTGACTATGACTGTTGTGACTGTGATTATGACTGTTGTGGCTCTGACTATGACTGTTGTGACTGTGCATGTGACTGTGTTTTGACTCTGTGACTATGCTCCTCAGGTTGGTGAAGGTCCCCAGGTCGTGGAGGACTCCAGTGAATGTTTGCTCGACATCCAAGGTCTCCCTATACATCTTGCCTCCTGATGGACCACAGTCTTCCACTCATCACTTTGTCCAGACAAATAGTGCTTCAGAATTTCAATACAAATCATCTTTGCATTTCTGAGACTCTTTCTTCTGGACGTCTTCCACTGTTATTGGTTTACTTGTCTAAGTAGCACCTAATGTGTTTCCAAACCCTCACAGTGGAGGTATTGTTACAAGTACTGGTTGGACCTAATGTGTTTCCAAACCCTCACAATGGAGGTATGTTACAAGTATTGGCACATACACAAACATCTCATGTCTTCCATAGTCATTGTAAAATGTATGGTATGATTGTTATCAGAGTAACTATGTCTGACTGAAGATTGAAATAAAATAATTTGTTATTACAGAATGTATTATTGTCTTGATTTAGGGATTCATTCATATGAAGTTAGCTCAGCTGTTCTGGGCATATAAATCTATAATTGTCACTCTCATTTATCATTTATTTCTTTTTTAGAAAAGCAAACACATTAGGGTACTGTTGATTAACGAAAGACAAATTATGAATAGAGTCCATTTTTGCCTTTGGATATCCAAAATTTCAGGAATGTGGATATAACATGATATTAATATAAATATGTCTTTGTTCATTTCATGTGAGTGAGTGAGTTAGGGTTTATGCTGCTTCATAAACTATCTTACCTATACTACTCAATATCTTACAGTGCAACCAGAAATTATTGAGAAGTTAAAGATTGTAATTTTTTAAATGTTTTTCTCTCATTACGCACGTATTAAATGTGAATATTAGCAGAACATAACTCCAGATTCAAAGACAGGTGGACAGTTAGTATTTTGCCAAGTCACCATGGGCAGCAATGCAGGCTTCAATGCGGTGGGCCATACTACTGATCAAAGAAGTTAGAAAGTCGTGGTCCATGCTGTCCCAATATCGGACCACCTCTTCATTCATTTCAGCGATATTTGTCAGATTTTTCTTATTGACACTTTCCTTCATAAGTCCCCAAACATTTTCTATTGGATTTAGGTCAGGGCTATAGCTGAGCCAATCTAATAATGTCATATTTTGGGACGAAACCAGGCCTGTGAATGCTTTGAACGATGTTTTGGGTCATTGTCCTGCTGGAAAATCCAAAAATTTCCATAGAACACGTGAGCAGATGGAAGTAAATGTCCCTCGAGAATATCCGTGTACCGCTCACTGTTCATATTCCCTTCATATGATATACACAGAGGGGCGTTCTAACACAGATATGCCACCCCACACGTTAAATTTCGGACTGTAGGGGGGCCTACTTTGGGCGCTGATAGATCTACAAAGGTCTTTCAGTTTGTTTGGTCCAAAATTTCAGTGTATTAGGAAACAGCCACACAAAACTTTCATCTGAGAAAATCACATTGTCCCAGTTAAAATTTCTATGCTGTAAGCACCAGTTCAACCTTCGCTCCATTTGTTCAGGTTTCATGATCGGTGATGGAATTCCTCGACTTTTCTGCCAACCCATTGCATGCAGTTCAGTTCTAATTGTCTCCTTACAGACAACCACAGTTCCTCTATCAATCATATCCAGCCTTAAGTTTTCTTAACTCCTTCCGTTTGTTTTTAGAAACAAGAATACCAAGCCGCCTCCTGTCACCGACAGTCAATCTTCTGGGCCTACCTGCGCCTCCCTGGTGCTCAATGCCATATCCATTTGCAATATTTTTCAAAACACTATAAACAGTGGACAAAGGGATGCCTGTTCTACTTGAAATCACTTTAGCTGATCTGATGTCCTTGTTATAATACTCTAAAATCAACTTCCTCTTTTCTAAATCATCCATACTGAGGATCACGGAAAATATCGTCTGCTAGCAAGTAAACAAAGGGGGATAACTCTTCACAAACTAATGAAAAAGGATTAAAGGTCACATAAACCCTAGGGGGTACAAATACATAAATCACTAACTGGCATCGTTATAAATGAAACCCCGTCATTAAAACTACTCATTTCGACCTTTAATTGACTTAAATCGACCTTTTTGACAACAGTGCACAATTCTCACCCGCAAACGAAATTTCAACCAATCAGAGCGGCGCGCCTCTGTGACGTCATATGAGGAATAGATATGAGGGCCGATGCAGAATTCATCTATATTTTAGGGGTTAAATTATCTTGTTTACAGGCTTGTATAAAACTGAAATCGTGACAATTGTTGTGGAAAATGAAAGCTATATGTTCTCACAATCTACTGTCATTTAATTTTGTCTCCTGCTTTGCCTAGTTTCTGAGTTACAACTTGTTTTCATAGACGATTCTGTCAAAATCGATTGGTGTCGTTAGGCCCTATTTGTATAATGACTGATCCAAATTGATCCCATTTCTGTGTTTTTTTACCTCGATATTTAATCATGTCACGTAAAAATCTGTTTGTATTCTCAAAACAGTGTCGGCCCATAAGTTTTCACATGCAATACAGCAATTAATACTCCCTTGTTGTAACCCGTGTTAGGTGGTATAAACCTACACATGTTAATTGTCATCATTCACTTGATGGTCAGTAAATAAATTTATAACAGGTATAATTAGTGGTAACACACTTAGATTACCCGACAAAGGTTCCCATTTGGCATTTCTTGTGTCTGGAGTAAATATTCAACATTATAAACATCGATCAAAGGATTAACCGATAACAAGCTGATTGATTAATTACTTTTATCTTACACAGCGGAATTGTCAAAAGGTAGTGTTTATGTATGTAGATTTACTAATCTATACTGAATACACTCTGTCGGTGTATGCGTAAAAACAACGCCCTTCTTTCAAAGGATTAACCGGCAATACATTGATTGATTGCCCATTATTGGCTAACTAAATTACTGTTTTTAAAGAAAGGCGGACATTATGCAATTAGTTGCCAGGTGTGCTATCTTGGGTGACCAATGAGACTATACACCAATACCTGAAAAGATTTATCACTTTTTCGTATATTAAACTGTTAAAAGACACATCATTTGGAACAGTTTTGTGGATATTGATGGATACATTCCTCGAACAAGGTAAAGGCCTGATATTGTTCCTATAACTTTAAACTGTTTTAATTTTAATATTTGCATTTTGTTTTTATTCATTTGTCGTAGCATTCAACAGAATCATTGTTTCGCCGTGAAGTGTAATGTGACAGACAACATGCACTAGGGTGTGTGTGCGAATTATGATTCACACTGGCAAACTGTAAAATGTCTAGATATTACAGTTCTGTTATAAATTCACTATAAGTATCAGCAGATCGTCTGCTTTTTATTTAGTTTCAAAATGCATACAAGTATGATAATAAACTAATTAGGATTATAAGACCAAATATAAAGACGCACATTGACTAGTATCTACATACTGGTGAGTGGACATTAACCATGTGAATGTAGCAAGAAATTTATCGCGCAGTATTGTGACTTCGACCCCCCACCTCGCTTCCGTGGAAGAAATCGTTATGTTATAAGTTGTGTCATGCAAAATCCGTTTGGTTATGATTCCAATACATATTTAACTACGAGTAGAAAGTAGTTTTGATTTTCTAACTTGACGAAAACAAACTATAATCTCATTAATTCTAACAGACTTTACGATGATCTGTTTGATTGGCATTTAGAAGTCTTATTAGACTTTACGATTTTTAAAAATGGCGGCGCCCTGTCGGGAACATCCGCCAGTCTGAGGATAAATGGTATTTACGTGTGTTTTCACCGAGTTACAAAATCAAAACTACTTTCTACTTGTAGTAAAATATGTATTTTATTGATGGCCAATAGGATTTGCATGACATAGCGTATAACATAAGAATTTCCCTCCTGGCAGCGAGGTGGGTGTCAATATAATACTACTTACAATATTATTGTTACTTCGACCACAACCTGACTTCCGAGGAAGAAATCGTTATGTTACAAGTTGTGTCATGGAAAATCTTTATGGTCATCAATCATATACATATTTTACTACAACTAGTAAGTAGTTTTGATTCTTTAACCTCCGTGAAGCGATCTGAACACAAGTAAGATATCGTTTCAGGCTTCCACAACGCTCGCTTCGCACTCACAAACATAACCCATTTCGCACGAACTGCGGGGTCCTGTGGAAATCTGTGCATGGGGACACCATCGCCCGACCCCTACGAGCAATTGACGACAAAGCAACGATTCGGCATGTCGTCGTTGATGTCGAGAAATCATCAAAATGATGAGCGTGCTACATACTTTCTATACAACTAACTGAAAATCGTTCCTCATAATACGTCACTGCAGTGCTCTGGCGACAGAGTTACGTAACCTGTCTGTGGTTTCGTTGGCGGGCGAGAGGGAAGCAGGCGACTTTTTGGCCACTTTTAATCGCTCGGTATTAATTAACCACAAGTTTTTAAAGAATAAATTTGGTGTTCCGCATAAGACTAACCACAAATCTTTCATATGTAATAGTTAAAACAGTAACAAAAAACAAAGTTTAGTGGTTCTTTAACGCAGTTGTCTCTTGAATGAAACCAAGCACTTGATAGCTGGTCAAGGTTGTTTATACAAGAAATCCAATTAAACATATTCCTAAAATTCTCAATAATTTCTGGTCATACTATATAAGGTTGGAAACAAACAGAGTTTAGTTCAAACAAACTGCTTCAGAGATTTTCAGGAAACTTACTTCTACTTGAAACATGGGCAAGTCTTTGACATCTGATTTCCTTACACAAGGTTCAAAGACACAGTAAAAACACATGGAAAAGTTGCATCCTTGGTTACAGTCATGCTCATACATGATTTCCTCTTGAAGGTAACAATATTCAATTCTCACTCAGCTGAGTCATCATGTCAGAGTCCAACACTTGAAACTTGAAGAGGATAAAAACAATAAAGATATCCGCTAGCTGTCATTGAAAATACCTGATACTTATCTCACATTTTTTTCAAAGATTTGAAAGGAAGGAAATTGTACATTCTTTTCTTTGACGAATTCATTCCCTGCAGTCCGTTATGAACGAAGGGTATGTTTATGCGTGAGTTTATCAGGGTTTACAGTTTCACGTATGGGTCTCAAGTTGTTATTTGTTCGACACAATGCAATATCCAAAATTATTGCTTAGCTAGTTGAAACAACTAGGAATATAAAGGGGAATCAAGGAACCAACCCGCTGTTTCTCTCTCTATACATAAAACTACCAATCTGTGCCAGCAGCGGCAGTGGGATAGCCGAGTAGTTAAAGCGTTCACTCTTCCCTCGCAGAACACCTGGGTTCGATTCCCGACATTGGTACAATGTGTGCATCCTGGTACCCTGGGTCCGTTGCGCCTGCGCTACGCTCCGACACTGACCCCAGCCTGGTTCGCTGGGTCCGTTGCGCCTGCGCTACGCTCACTCAGTGTCG